AAATAATAAATTTAAATTAAATTTTCTTAAAAAATTATAGAATTAGAATAAATATTATTGATCTTAAACTAATAAATTTAATAAAAAGAAAATAATGTAAATATTGTAAATAAAGTTTTTAAAATATAGTTGAAAAAAATCCTAATATAAAAAATTTCTTATTTTATTATGTTAAAATATTGAAAAATTAAAAAAGAATTATTAATGAAAAATATATTTTTTATTTGGTTTAAAATAAAATTTTTTGTGTTTGTAATAAAAATTATATTTTGTTTAAAATAAAAATTGTTGAGTTTATAATATAGAATTATATTATTTTTAATAAAATAAAAAATATAAAATAAAATAAAATAAAAAATTTAGTTTATATATATTTTATTATATTTTTTTTAAATTAAATACATTATAATAATAAAATCACTTGACATTGTTGTTAAGAAGACAGCTATTTTTTCTGATTTTAGATTGTACTTTTGATACAATTATTTAATATATTTAGTAATCTAAAATCAAATTTTATTAAAATTAAAAAGCGATACTAATTTTTGATTTAATTAATTCTATTAAAATATCAACTAATATTTATATTAGTTATTTTATTAAGATTTTAACAATTTTTTGTATAAATATATTTAAAAAAAAAAATTAATTTAGCATTAATAAAGATATAAATATATAATTTTTAGTAAATATTAAAATAAAGCTTTTTTGAATTTCTTGTTGAGTAAAGTTGTTGAGTAAAGTTAATAATTAAAATTGATTTTTTAACTATTTAAAACTTTTATTATAATTTATATAAATATGTATTTGAAAATAAAAATAATTATTATAAAAAAATAAAAATTATAAATAAATTAATTTAAATTAGCCAAAAAAATTAAATAATGTTTATAAAAATAGCATTATTATATATTTTTTATTCAATTAAAAATAAAAATACTTAACAAAATAATTTATAAAGGTTGATATAAAAAACCCTTTTTTTAATATATAGAAAATACGAAATAATTTTATATTCTGATATGTAGATGAATTGCATCATTTTGTGCTTGTTTTTAAAAAAATTATTAGGTTATCGGAGTGTATTAAATTTAAAAAATATTTTCGTAAAAACAATTTTTTTTCTAAATTTATTTAAGTTTACATTAAAATTAAATATTTTTCTTTTTATTAAATATGAATTTTTATGTAATAATATTTATTTTTTCATATTTTATTTTAAGAATTATTATAAAAAATAAATATAAATTCTATTTACTCAAAAATTCCATGATTATTATTCTTGATTATTAAATAAACTAAATGCTCTTTCTACTGACTCTATACCACAATAATAGCATTCTCTAGAAAGTAAATTATCAATTATTTATTAATTTTTTTCAAACTCCATTTTATCTTCATTAGTTAAAACATTCATAAGTTATTATTACAAAACTACTTCATTTTTATTATTAGCTTTTTTAAGTTGAAAGGCACCGCTTAGACTTTTAAATATTTTTTTAAATGTATAATTATCGTTATCATTATTATTTTATTTAAAAGCAAGTATTATTTCCTTCTATTTATTTTTAATAGTTAAATTTATTTTTTATAAATAATCTTCGAGCATAATAATTTTTTGTTTGTATTGAAAAGTAAAAGTATCGTTTTTTATTTATTTTACTAAACATGTTCTATGAAAAGCATGTAAGCATGGAAATACATAATGATCTTATTCAATTATATTTTCAAAACAAAGTTTACAATTTATTTCATCTTTAATATAAATAAATTTTTGATTGTAAAGTCTAATTTCTTTCTTTAAATTCTCTGACATATTATTATAATTATTCATATCATCTTTTAATTCTTCTATTTAATTATTATACTCTTCAAGATTTTTGCAAATTTATTCCTTTAAAAAGTCAATTTAATCAAACTCATTAAAATAAGGAAGTAAATCTTCAATTTTAAGTAAATCATTATCTAATATTTCTTATGATTTATTATTTTTAATCATATAAATTGCTATTTTTAAATAAAGTTTTTTTCTTAAGTCTTCACTTATTGGTTTTAAAGCATATTATTTTGCTAATTCAATATTATTATTTTATAAAGCTAAATTTACTGCTAGCTCAAAATAATCCATAAGACCATAAAGGACCATAACTAATTCATGAATTTCATTTCTTTCAAATAAACGTAGAGCAAAATCAAAATCAAACATAACTTTTTAGTTTTTATCATTATCTTATGTATATTTCATTATGTATTAAATCAATATATCCTTATATTCTACACCACCTCTTACGAGAAAGAAAATATATAGATTGTGTATAATTTTATCTTTTATTTTTAATTCATCAATACAATGTTGCAAAAATGTAATTCCATATCCAAAAGAAGATTTTATATTCATTAAACCCGAAATTAATTTAGAAAACTGATAATCCTGAGCATTTTTTATTAGAAAATCAATAACTTCCTTAGGTTTATATTACAAAAATATATGACAATATTTATAAAGTATTTCCATAACAATATCTTTTTAATTAATTTTACCTAAATATTCTAATACTTTTTCATAATTTTAATCATTTATATAATGAATTATTACGTTTTCATAATTTTATACACTTTCAGCAAATTTTAAACAATCATCAATTCTTCCATGACTTTACATCAATTCAAAAACAGTTTATTCATCTAATTCGTTTAAATTTTCTTGCAAAAATTACTAAAAACTTTTTTTCAACTAGTTTACTTATTAACTTTTATTAATTGTTACTTTTTTCAGTTTCTATAAAAGATCATCATAATTAATACCTTTTTGCTAAATTACTTTTTCATTTTCTTCATTTTAAAATTCAGTAAGATTTATAAGAAATTCTTAATTTTGATAATCAAAAATAAACTCATAACTATGTTTAAGTTAATCTTCTTTAATTTTTTTTATTAGTCTTTCTTCTTCATTCAAAAGTAAGTTAAATTCATTTTCGATTTTATTCATTAAATAGATATAATATTCAGCACGTAAACCTAAAATTATTTTTATTTGAGCCTTCTGGGTTTAAAAATTTAAAGATTTTTAAACAAAACTTAAATAATCTGTATTAAGTTAAAATATATAAATATAATTCAAAACGATAATATAATATTAATACATTGAAAACCTTCAATACATTCTATAGTTTATTAACAAGAAATAAACTTAAGAACAATTTCTTCGAAACTTTTGTTTGAGAAAAAGTATTTTTCTGCAGCCATTTAATATTCTTGACTTTCAAAAAGAGAATCAGCATATAATCCTGCAATCTTTTTTATTTAAATATAAAATAAATTAAATTTACAAATAATTTATATTAATTTATTATTACGTATTCAAGTGTATCTAAATTATATTTTTTACAAACAGAATAAGCTTATTAAAAATCATTTTTATTTAAATATTCAAACCAAGCATTTTTTTCTTCATCATTAATCGCTAATTTTTTAACACATTTATTAGTATATATTATAAATCCATTAGAATAAGAATCGAATTGCATTCCTATTACTTTACCTAAAGTACTTTACAAATTATATTCTTTTACAACTTTATGACTTATTCTACTCATTATAGTTAAATAATCAGTGTGTAATAAATAATAATGAAATTCGGTAATTCCAATAGAAATAGGTTATTCTAAATATTGTTATATATAATTTTTAATTATAAAATTAAATAAATAAATATACCAACAATTAAATATGAGTCTTATTCTACTTTATAATTATCTTCAACAGTTTTTTTATACGATAAAAAATTAATATTTCTTAAAAATGCATCAGTTGGCTCTGACTTATAATCAGTTATATTTGTGCAAACTAAAGCTTCGCCTGTTGTATAAATAATAGAATGAGGTCTGAAATTTTTCTAAGAGTAACAAATGTTCATTAGAAGTGAACTTGAAGAATTAAAAGGTAGTTCCTCTACAATTTCTTTATTCTTTTCATATTTTTTAAACATTTATTAAAGAGGATTTTAATCATAAAAATAATAAAATGCTGAGTTATTCGCAATTAAAACGCAACTTTTTAGATTATTTAAAAAAATTAATTATAATTCATTTAATTTTACGTATATGATTTATTATTTTATTAATTCAATGTATATATGAAAATATTTTATATATTATTTTTCAACTATATTGAATCTATTTAGAATGAATATATTTCTATTTCGCTTTTGTTTTATTTTCTATTTATCTAAAAAAAGAATAATTCTTTTTCGTATGTTCCAATTAACATTTAAACATGATTTTCATTACAAAATTAATCATAAAAAGTAATGCAAGATATATTTTTAGTAAATTTATTTAAGTTTTGTCTTATTTTATTTTCAATAATATTAAAATAATAATTAATTCCGTTTAAACTAGTAAAAATACAATGATATCCTGTATTATCCAAATAAAAATTATCTATTTAAATATAATTATCCTTGTTTCTAAACATATTAATCAAATTATATGATTAGTTGGATTGAGGTAACTACAATTACTCCAAGTTTTAATTTTCTATATCATATCTTTATCTGAATATTTTGTTTGAAGCAGTAAATATTATTATTTATCTTTATGATATTATTAATTTTTTTATATTTTCATGTTCTTGCATATCGATTAATAAAGTTTTTAACTCAAATATTTCTGATGAAATTTCTTCTTCTCTGAATCCATGTTTTTCTGTTAAATTTCTAGAATTTTCCCAACATAAATTATCTTCTTCATATTATTTAATCATTAAAAAAATTAAAAGTATAATTAAATTTTTCTTTATTTTTATAATATATATATATTTATATATATTTATATATATTTATATATATATATTTAAATATAATATATATATATATATATTTGTTTATTATTTATAATTTATTTGTATCTATCGATTCTAATTTTTTTTTTTTATTTTAGTTATTTTTTTACAATATTTAAATTAGTTAAATATTACAATTAATAAAAATTTACATTTTTTTTATTTTTCTAAATATTTTCATTTTCTTTTTTTTATCTAAAAATTTTTATAATTTATTTTTTCTCAAATATATTACTTATCTATAATTTAAAATATTTTCATTAATAAAAAAATATTATAATTTAAAATAAAAAGTTTCATGACAGAAAAATATATGAAAAATCAAATAAAATACTTTAACAAATATTGAAAAATTTAATAATATGTATTAAAATATATATATTTAAAACTTTTATTAATAAAATTATCAAATAATTGTCAAAAGTTCAGAAATAAAAAATTATATCCTATTTTGTAAAACACTTAATAATAAGATTATTAATTTATGGTTTATCTAAAATTTAATAATTTATTTAATACTTATTCTAAATAAATATTAAATAAATAAAAAAGTTTATAAAATAAAATTATAAAAAAGTATGCAAAATTTATAAATATGTAATTAATAAAATATAGAAATAACAAACGATAACTAAGCATATTTAGAAAATTTATAATCATATATAAAATATTATTTATTATAAAATCTTATTAAATAAATATTTTATTTGTTTTTAAATTTTGTATTAAATAAATTAGTAAATAGAAAAATTAGTTTATAAATTTTTTAATGATATTATATGATTGTAAAATATTTAAAAACATTAAAAAATAAGTTCTAAATATTTATTTTATATATCTTTTTATAAATAAAAAATACAGTAAATATGAAATCCTTAATCATAAAAAATAATAATTAGATTTTTAGATTTGCAGAGTTGAAAAAAAAAATTAGTAAAAATAAATTAATAAATTATTAATAAAATTTATAAAAACAGAAGACATTTTTCTTTTAAACAAAATATAAAAAAAAAATATAATATCGAAGTTAAGATCCCCCTATTAAAATATATCTATATATTAAGTTATAAGATAATAAACATATTTTTTTTTTGTTCCAATATTTCTTATTTGACTTTTTACTTTGGAAACTATTATTTATTTAAAAATTCAGAGAATAATTATATTATAAAATAATATCTATAATATTTTATTCTTAAATAATGCATTTTTGTTTACAATTTAAAAATATATAAATAAAATTTCTCTGTATTAAAAAAAAATAAAAATATAAAAATACATTAAATCAAATATAGATAAAATAATCTAAAGAAAAAAGTAAAAAAAAATAATATATATATAAAAAAATCTTAAAAATAAATAAAGAAAATAATAAAAAAAGTAATAAAAAAAATGAGATATTTACTTACAGAAACTGAAGTTTAAATTCCTAATGGAGTAACAGTCACAGCAGCAGCTAGAGTAGTTACAGTGAAAGGACCTCTAGGTTCATTAAAAAGATCTTTTAAACATGCTTCCATTAGCATTTTAAAACCAAAAGATAGTAAATTAAAACTTTAAATTTGGTAAGCCCAAAGAAAATAAAGAGCTTGTTTAACAGCTATTGCTTCTTAAATTAAAAATATGATTAGAGGAGTAACTGAAGGTTATAAATTCAAAATGAAATTAGCCTACGCACATTTCCCTATTTAAGATTTTGTTGCTAAGGATGGAAAATCAATTGAAATTAAGCACTTTTTGGGAGAAAAAAGAGTCAGAAGAATCGATGCTTTAGAAGGTGTTTAAATTATTAAGAAAGAAGAAGAAAAAAGTATAAAAATTTAATCTTTATAATAAAAAAATAAAAAAAATAAAAAAAATAAAAAAGATACTTTAACTTTTACTGGTATTGATTTGAATAATGTATCTTAAACATGTGCATTAATTCACTAATCTTGCTTAGTAAAAAATAAAGATATTCGTCAATTTTTGGATGGTATCTATGTTTCTGATAAAAGAATGGCTTTAAATGATTGAAAATAGTAGTTTTCTAACAACATATAAAATAGTTTATATTTGTGTTTTTGTTTTTGTTTTTTATCCTAAATTTATTTAAATTATATTTAAACTAGTTTTATTCTAAATATTCTTAATGTTTTTACATCAGTTATTAATTATTTTTTGTTCTTTAAAATACTATGAAAATAATAATAATCCCCATATAAAATATAAATAATAAGTGATATTACAAATTTTTTTTAAATTAAATTTAATAAACATAAATTTTATATATTGTTTTTGAAATAATAAATAAAAATATTAAATTATATTTTATGTAAAAAAATAATATTTTTTATATTAAATAATATTGTATTTTTAAAAAACATTATTATTTTTTAAAATATTATTTTGATGTTCTGATGTAAATTAAAAAATTTAAGAATGGTAGGTATAAATTTCTAAAAATATAAACATAATATCAAATTATATTTATTTTTAAAGATATAAAGTTTAATTCATCATATTTATATGTTTTTTATGAATATGATTTATTTATATTATTTTTTATTTCTTTTATGTATTTTTTTTTAAATAAATAAATCAACATAATAAAAAAGTCGAAAAAAACAAAAAAATGGTAAACGGCTTTTTTTTTTTTGATTAATTTTAAATAATAAATAAAGAAAAAACATATAAAAAAATAATAACAATTAATAATATTATAAGAATTTAAAAGTTATTAATTTAAAAAAAAAATAAAAAAATAGAAATGTAATAATACATCTAAATGGATACTATTAATATTCCAAAAACAAAATTAATAAATTATCTTTTTTAAAATATAAAGTTTTATATATATATATTCATTTTATCTAAAAATGCAGATATAGATAAATTTTAATGTACTGATTTGGGAAAAGGTTATGTAAAATAAATGTATCATATAGCTTATATCATGATTTTTATTAATATATTATTTTTGTTTTACGGTTATATAAGAGTTCGTTTTGTTAGAACTGCATTTATATTAAATTACATATTAAACTTATCATACAGCTTATATATTATAATATATAGTATAAATACTGCGGAAAATTAACCTAAAGAATGTATTTATTCAATTATGGTTTAGAAATCTATATTCATATTAACTGTAAAAAAAGAAATAGAATGCTTAATAGTAATAAAATTACCACTTGAAATGGCGGCAAGATAAGCAAATTTATCAAGTAATTAGATTTTCCCTTATATACTGATTTCTAGTGGAAATTTAACTGTTTGTGATTAATATGCTTAAAAAATTGAATTTTTAATATGTTTTAGTCATTTATTTGTTTTTTTATTTGGTTCGATAAGCAATTTTGCTCTTTATTTTTTTTAAGTGTTTATAAAATAAAAAGTAAAGGGCTCTTTTGGATTTGTAATAATAATTTCAACTATATGTATGATTATTGTATATATTATTATTATTTAAATTGATGATGTTGAAAATATAAAAAAAAATGAAAATTGTATTCCTCTTATTTATATTATAAATGTTTATCCAGAAATTAATATTTTATCTATTTTTTCTATGATAATGCTTTAATTTTTATAAGACGAAAACTTATTTAAAAAAATTATTGGATTTATTTTTAAAATTTATAAAAGTCTATGCTAAGATAAGATTTAAGAAAAATTTATTGATAATAATGATATTTAAATTCATAAAGTAAATACTAAAAATAACTTAATGATACCTAAAAATATTTTAAGTATTTAAAATTAAACTAACTTTATTAGAACATCAAATAGTATTTGGGTTGGAGAAAATATTTCAAATAATAATAGTGAAAATAATAGTACATTTAAATACGGAAATTTATTTAAATGAATAAAATAATAAATATAACTTTATTAATATTTTATATATACAATATATGTTAATATTATTTTTATTATAATTAAATTTTAAATTTTTATTTATTTTTAGCTTTTATCTCTATTTAAAGGAACTATTTTATTAAAAAAATAAATTAAAATTAAAATGATATAAAAATATATATTTAAAATAAAAAAAATATCCATAAAACAAAAAATAAATGTTTTATTTCATAACAATTAAAACTTGCACTGAAAAGCGTATTGCTTAAATTGGTGATTAGTTTAAATAATGTCATGATAAATTAAATACCTTTTAAAACCTTAAGATTTTAAGAATAATTAATTTAATTTTGCATTATTACAAATATTTATATTTATTTTATTCGTTTTGAATTAATAAAAATGTATTAAATGCAATTATAATTAATAAGGGCACTATATGTACCTTAAATTTCTTAAAATTGAGCTTACAAAAGGGAACATTAAAAAACAAAACAAAAAATTAAAATTATATAATAAATATAAATTTTTATTTAAAAATATGATTTTTTTTTAAATAATAAAATACATGTTAAATTAAATATATTAGTAATCAACAAATTTTTATTTTAAATATATCTTAATTTAAAAAATTTAATAATAAATATTCTTAAGCAAATACAATAAATAATAATAGACTTTTACATTGTTTTTTTAAAAAAAGTAATAAATATAATATGATTAATCAGTATACTTTAAAATTTCAATTAATAAATATAATTTTAAAATATTTTTAATATAAAATTATATATATATTAATATAAACATATATATACTCCTTTTTGCCCTTATTCTTAATTTTTCCTGATATCATATATTCTATATGTATAACTATGAAATTTTCTATTTAAATATTTATAAAAAGAAAAAAACATATTATTTTTAATAGTAAAAAAAATTATTTATATTAATATTAAACTTTTATTTTTTATTTTTTATAAGTTATTTTACTTAGATACAAAAAAAAAGTCATTAAATATGAAATTTTTAGATGTTTAGAAAAAGAAGAATAACATTCTAAAAAGACTATGTATATATTTTTTTAAGTTTACATAATATTTTTTTTTTAATTAAAATTAATTTTTAATGAAGAATTTAAATATTTATGAATAAATCAGATTAAATTATAAGTATATTAATCCATAAATAATTTATAAAAATACAAATTAAAAGAATAAAATAATTAAATTAAGTATTATATATACATTTAATTATATTAATTTTCTTTTTCAAATATAATAATGTATTTTTTTTCATTTATTATTAATTAATTAAATATAATTGTTATCATAATTATAATTTTAATTATGAACTAAATCATTTAAAATATTTTATGTTATATTATCTTCTTTATATTATTAATTTAGAGATTTTAATTTGCTATTTATAACAAATGGAGAATTCGGAGATATACTAAATCTATTGAATTTGTTAGAAAATAAATATTATTTATTATTACATGTTTTTTCTATCAACTCAATATCAAGGCACATTTCATCTTATTATTTATTTTTTTATTAATCTTTTTTTTCATTATTATATTAAATAATAGTGTTAGTTTTTTATTTTTGAATTTTATTTTTCAAATTATTAACAATTTAAATTAAGTGGTTTTAATCATATGCTTAAATTTAAAAATTAACAATTTAACTTTAATTACTTTAGCAACTATTATATAAGCTACTATTAAGCATATTATAATTTTATTCACATTTATAATTACCTGTTATTTATTTATAAGCTTGAGGTGTATTAAGTAATTAAAAATTAGGACTATGCATTATGTAACTAAATTAATTTATAATATCATTATTTTTTTTAGATTATGGAATACTATTTGTATTAAAGTTTTTTTAGGAGAAAATATTTCATTTTTTATGTTATTCTAAATATTTAAAGAATTATTATAATTGTAGTTTTGTAAATTTGAAATATTATTAAAAAAAGTTCTGTTTTATTAAAATAGATTAAATAATTATTATTGTTATTATTGATGTTATGTTTAGTTATTATTTTATTATTAATTTTTAATTTATAATTTAAAAATATTTTTATCATGATTTTTTATTTTCTTAATTAAAATTTAATCTAAATTAAATTTTATTTGATTTTTTTTTATTTAAAATCGGTCTATTGAATTACCTGATATTCTTTATTAAGAAAAAATTTCATATTAAGACTTTTCTTTTTATTTAGTCTTTTTCTTATTTAATTTGTTCACTTTGTACTATTAACTATATTTTTAATTATAAAAAATTATTAAAAATATAAATTAGAATAGAATATATATTTTAATAAATTTTTTTATAAAAATAAAAAAAAAAACTTAAATTATAATATTTTCTAAATAAGTGATTTATAACATAATTAATCTTAAATTATATAAGTATCATTTTTCGAATTTCGTTTTATAGGTTTATTTGCAAAGTCAAGTAAAGCATCTTGAAGCTCTTTGCATGCAATTGTTAAGCTTTTTATTTTTTCATCTTTTAATTAGTTTATATTTTCTTCTGCTAAAATAAATATTTTAGATAAAACACCTGGCTTAATCTCTTTTACTTAAGCTGTACCTTTTTTTTTATATAATTAAAAATATTTATATTTTATAAATAATAAAAATATAACAATATATATATATATATATATATATATATAATTCTATTTTTTTTTTACTATTTTTATCTCCTAATAATTTATTTATTCTTCTTAGTGATCTTCTTAAAGTTGAATAGAAATGATTTTTTATTGAATTATCTGTTCTTCCTGGTAAATATTTCGCTATTTCAGACCATTTATTTCCATATTCTTTGTGAGCTTTAAAAATTATCATCTCTTCATCTGCAGCCCATTGTTCTTTGTTTATTTATGGATCTAAATGATTATGCCATCTTTCACGGCATTATTTTCCAGTTCTATTAGATATATTATATTATTCTGACATTTTTTAAGCTATTAATGACCACTTTTTAACTCCAAATACACTAACTAATTCTTTTATTGCATAATCTTCCTTATATTTTTTATTATTTTTATTTTAATATTTATTAGTTTAGTTTACATTTTCTGCCCATGATCGACGATCAACCATTTTTTAGTAAAAAAAAATTTATTATTTTTTTAATATTTTTTTTAATATTATAAATATGTATTTTTTATCAGTGTGTTTTTTTATATATATGTAAGAAATATATATAATGCATATTTTTTGTTAATATTATAATTTCATATATAAATTAAATATAAAAATATATAATATAATAAAATATATTATAATATAATATAATATAATATAAAATTAAGCATTAATTAATTAAGTTTATATTTATATTTATATAAATATAAATATTTATTTTTATTATATCTAAATTTATATAAATTATAAAATCAAATAGAATCAAGTTCAATATTATAATTTTATTCGTAATTTAATTTTTATTATGTGTCAATTTATCCAGATTAATTTAATTATTGTTCCTATTATAAAACTTAGGATTAACCTTATTCTGATAATTAATCTAATTATTATAATTATTATAATTATTATTATTATTATTATTATTATTATTATTATTATTACTATTATTAAATGTTATATTTATAATTCATTATATTATTTTATTTATATTATCCTATTTTATTATTATTTTCAAATATTTTTTTCTTTCTCTTTATTTTTCCTAGCATATTATATCATTTATATCTATATTTTTATAATTATTATTAATTTTTAAAATTAATATATATCTTTTTAATATACCCGGTTTATTTTTATCTTTTTATTATACTTATTATAATTTTTAATTTTATTGTTCACTTTTTATTGGAATAATATTATTTATTATTTTTTTTAATATTCCGCTTTATTTTTTTTGATTTTCTTCTTATTTAAGTAAAAGTATCAACTTTTGTTAAAAATCTTATATTTATTATTTTTATTTCATTAAATATTAGTTTTCTTATAAAAAATAATCAACCATTTTTTACATTTCTTTTAATTTTTTTTTATATTAGTGATGGCTAAAATGTCGTTTCAATTATTTTTTGTTAAAAAAATTTATTTATAATATTTTTATATGTTTTATAAATAATTTAAAAACAGAATAAATAATTTTTTTAAAAAAATAATAAGTATATCATTTCAAATTAAAATTTAAAGTAGATAATTAAATTTTATTTATTCTTTTTATATATACTTATATTTTAGATTATTTATAAAATTATACGATCATATTTAAAATACAGGTCTATCTATTAACATTATATTTGTAAATATTCGAATAAAAAATATTTACAGAGTAAAAAACATAGCTTTATTTTGCGAATTTTCCTTCACTTATGTTAAACAATTTTATTTGTAATTTTTATTAAAACCTTAATTTCTCAATATTTATCGCTATTTTTAAGAAATTAATTCATCTAAAGAAAATTAATTTAATTATTAATCCATTAAAGTGAAATTATATTTAAATTATACAAAATATATTTTATTATATTTAAATTATTTATTTTATTAAAAAAATATCTATTTTTAAATATAATTTAATAAAAAAATTATCAATATATATTATTGATAATATAAAATGACAAATAATCCTTAGTATTTTATTTAAAATCCACAAAATCATTTTTTATTAGATGAATAATCATTAAAATAATATTAAATATTTGATGCAAACTTAAGTATATCTCGTGCATCTTACACAAAGATATGTTTATATAAAAAGTAAGAATCGTCAGAAAAATATATTCCATATTCATTAAAATAATTTCCTTTAATAAATTTTAGCAACATGACATATATATATAAATAAACAAATGAAAGAAAATATGATTTTTTATTTTCTGATTTTTAAGAGGATAATAAGCCTTCTTAATTAATCCAATATGAATGTTTTTTTACAAAAAATTAGAAATTAATAAGTAAATAAGATAGTTTTAATGTTTGATAAGCCCCATTTTAAATAAATAATATTTTCTAAATTATATTTTAAAATTTGCTAATTTTTAACATATTTTTGATATTAATTTCATAACTAAAGTAATTAAATAAATAGCTTATGCTCTTGAATACTTGCATGATAAAGATTTAGTACATGGTAATGTTCATCCAAATAATATTTTTGTTTATTCGAAAGAAATTGAAACCAAATTTAACGAACTTAACCTATCATAAGGAATTACTGAATATTAAAATTTATAAGTATATCTTTTGGATTCAGGACTTCATTATTTTAATATGCCTTGTGATTATATAGGCGCTGATATTAGCTAGAATACAGAAATTTTATAAGAAAAGAATAAATATTTTACTGTTTTTGGAAAAAATTCATATTTTTAAGCTCCTGAAATACAAAAGTAGATTGAAGATGGAGTTTATTTGCCTACAAAAGAATCTGATATTTATTAATTAGGTTTATGTATGCTTTTTATGAATAATTTTTGCTAAATAAAATATATTTTACAAAATTTATATGATTATTAAGAGCTTTTTTTAGAAGAAAAGATTGAGTATATGTCCTAAAATACATAAAATTTTCATTTTGAATAATTAAAAAAGCTCCTTTTATAAAAAGATCCTAAAAGAAGACCTAAAATTGTAGAAGTAATTGAGAAATGTAAAGAAATAGAGAAACTTACTGGAGGAAAATAATAAATAAACATGTAAAATAATATTTCTTAATCATTAACAAAAGAAAATAAAGATTAAATAGATAAATTTTCTACAATTATCAAATAATTATTTTAGGAAAGAACAAACATTTTTTTGTAAGAATTAAAGTTTTCAATAATTTAAAATAGACCACTAGAATAATATGTAATTGATTTTTTGGGAAAAATAGATAATTATGTGGAATATTTATAAATTTCTACAAAAAAAAAACTCATTCTTTAACTGTAATAATGTCTGAAAATTAAAGATTAATAAGAAAAATAATATTTATTAGAAATAATTTAATAATTTAAATTTGGATAAAAGCAAATGCATTTTTTCTAAATCTTAATTTTGGAAATTAATAATTTATTTAAATTTGAATTTTTTTAATAAATTATAAATTAAAATTTTGATGAAAATATTAATAAAGTTTATTAATTTTCTAATTTTGCATAAGATGGAAAATTTTTGCCTTTATCTTCTTTAATTTTTCTCGATTAAAGTAATTTCTTGACTTTTGATATAAATAAAGTATTTAAAATTTGGGATATTTTTTAAAAAGACCATGTATTTACATTTTAAATTGAAAATTAAAATATTGATTCGAAAGGCAAGATAATTTATTGTGAGTAAAACTCTTTTATTTTTTATGATTATTAGTAGTTTTTTTTATTTTAGTATGATAAAATTTCTAATAATAGAAGAATTTCTATAAATTATAATGAATATTTCCATTTTAATGTCTAAAATAATGATAAAATATAAAATAAATTCATAATTCTTTAATTAGTGCCTTTTTTTTAAAGTTAAAATGTTTTTTTCTGTTTAAATTGTTAATATGATGTTTAAGATTCTTCATTTTTTTTAAATTTGTTTTCTTTATAAAAACAATTCTTCTTTTTTGATATTAAAATATCGAAGCTTATTAAATACGACGAGGAAAAATACATAAAATATGTCCAAATTTATAAAGATTTTCCAGAAATAAATACTTTATTTATCATAATTAACTAAAAATATATTTATTACATTTGTCTTATGGATATTATTTAAAAAAAAATATTGTCCTTTCATATTCATATTAACACTATAGGAAATATTATTTAAATTCGTTAAAATGCTTAAAATTAAAATATAGTTTATATAACTTCTGATAATATGGAGTTATTTATCTATAATTTAGAAAAATAAAGTGTAGTTAGTATCCTATATTTTAATTATAATATCGTCTCAATAGATATTTGTAGATTTTTTTCGTTTAATTATTTAATTATTAATGATTCTAAAAGATTATATTTGGCTAAAATTAAATAATATGATGACAAAATTGAATAAAAGGTTTTTTATTATTTTATTTTTATTTTTTTATTGATAAAATTTAGGATTTCTATATTATAAAAAAAGGAAATTTTTAAAACTTTTTTTGTGTTCCCTATTTTCTATAGGATCAAGAATAGGAATGAAAAATACATTTTGTTTATAATATTTTTTTTAGTTATTTTTTATTTAATTTTTATATTATATTATTTTTGGTTTTGTTCTCTTTTAGCTTAATATATACTTTTAGTTAATTTTTAATATTTATATAAAAATTGTAATTATAAACAATAAATATTAAATATAATACTTAAAAATATTAATTATTAAAGTTCATTAATAATCTTGAAATCATTAATTTGGTTTCATACTTCTTCTTTTAATATTTATAATATTTTATTTAAATTACAATATAAGTAAAATTCTAAATTATAAAATTACAAATCAATTTAATAAAAAAAATTATATTGTCGATAATAGTAAATCAAATTAAATCAAAAAAAGTTTAAGATTTAAAAGAAATTAGTAAAAATATAAAATTATAATCTTTTTATTATTTCCTCGAATTAATATTTAAAAAGAAGAACTCGAAGACGTGTTTTAATTAATTTTAGATTATGAAAGCGAATAGTTTTACATTAATTAAAAGATATTGAAAAAGTAGATTTATATGAAATACAATCAATTATAGTAATATTATTAAACGAAATATTTTGAAACTAAGCTTTAGTATATTTTATTCATTTATGATAAAAGTAGTACAAAATAAAAAAAGAATTAATACTAAACAATTATGATCTAATAAGAAGCTTATATAAATTTTTAAGTATAAATATGTCAACTTTAACATAAATAAAAAGTATTAATTAATAAATATTAATGAGTTGACAAAGATTAAAGAGGTTCAATAAGTTTTGAAGAATTTCAGAAGTTGAAATGTAAATTTTTTAAAATAGAATATTCAATAATTATTTATGTAAAAGTATAAAATATAAGAAATAATTACAAAGTAATATTAATTTTAGTGAATCTACTTAAATAATAAATTTTTTAATTGTAAATATAATTTTAGTAAAAATTAATTGAAAAAAATAAATAAGCATCTTAAATATAATTAATTTAAATTTATGTAAACTTGGTCAGTCTTTTGGTGCTAATTATATAAATTAAGATAACTAATTATATATAAGCGAACTTAGTTAAGTTTAAGAATTTTAATAATTATTTTATTTGTTAATTATTTAATATTTTTGGTATTTTTTATATATTTTAATAAATGTTAAAGTCTAGAAGGACTTTAACTGAATTGACTAAAATTTTTTGCTAATAAAAAATTATTTTTTCATTTGATAACTTGTTAATTATTTTGTTTAATATACGATTTGTTTGTATCAATATAAAAGGATATTTTTTATAATTATTTTAAACATTTAGTTTTATTTTCAAAATGGCTTTTACATATTTAAAAAGTAATTTATTTTTTAAAATATCTATTTAAATACTAACATATAATTCTTAATTTTAATAAGTTTTCTGAAAATACAAATATATTGATTTTAACAGTCTTTAAGCAAATATGATAAGATTTGTTTTTTTCGTATATAATTAATTATAATTTTTTTCAAATTATATATATATATATTTTTTTTTTAATTATATCTAATATATTATTTATTATATTTAGTAATTTAAATATGAATTCAAAAAGATTTAATTTTTAAAATAATTTCCAAAATTAAAATAAAAATTAAATATAAAATTATCATAATTTAGGAAAAATGGGTTTTCTTTTTTAAAAAAATGCATTAACACATTCCTAAACATCCGTAGTATTTAACATTGCTGCATTAATCCTTGCAATATAATCAAGATTTTTTTCTACAATTTAATTAAGATCATGATTAAGAGATTATTTAATAGTCCATACAGCAACAGGGCTTTTACTTGAAATATCTTCAGCAAGTTTAAGTAAATCTTTCATCATTTCATCTTTGTTTTCAACACTTTTAGAAATTAAACCTAATTATTAGGCTTCTTAAAAATCAAAGGTTCTTCCTGTATAATTAAGTTCTCTAAAAATACTATCATTACCAGTTAGTAAAGGTATACGCTTTTTATATAAAAAAATAATTAAAAATAAATAAAAAATTACTTAAACAGTTCCCAAATCTGCACAAATTCCAATATCAACTTCTTTGATACAAAATTTAGTATCTTTAGTGCAATATCTTTTTTAAAAATAAAAAAATATAATAAAAATATAAAATATAAAAATGAATTTATTATAGATTTAATCATAATTTATGTTTATAAAAAAATAAAAAAAATAAAAACGGAAATGGAAAATATAAAATATAAAATATGTAATAAAAATATTTAATAAAAAAATACCTAATATCACAAGCTGAAATTAAATCAATAGCACCACCAATGCATGCATTATGAATTCCTACTATAACAGGTACCTTTTATATATTTATTTATTTATTTATTTATTTATTTATTTATTTATTTATTTATTTATTTATTTAATACACGACAATTACTTAATGATGATATTGAGTTTTGCCATTTTTTTATTAAACTGTATATCATTATAGATTATCTAGCATGATCATTTTTTTCATCGATATGACTAAGCATAGATTCAGTTAAATCTAGTCCTACTGAAAAATGCTTTCCGTTTCCAGTCAATATTACTACTCTTAATTCATTTTATTCATTAAGAAATTTTACAGCTTATGGTAATTCGTCAAAAAATTAGAAATTCATACTATTTAATTTTTCTGGACGGTTTATTTATAAATTATAAATGTGAGGGGATATCCATTTTCCTTTTAATGTTTAAATTGAAGAAGGTAAATTATTTTTCATTTTTTTAATTAATTAATAAATTATAAAATTTATTTTATTATAAATCTTTTAGATAATAAAAATAATAATTGTTAGTTTTTGTATTTATTTTTATTTTTATTTGAATAAAAGAAAACTAATTATAATTATTAAATTAATTTATTATTAACTATTGATATTTTAATTTTATTTTTCTTAATATTTTCTATAAACATGTAATTAAAAATAAAATAAACTAATAATACACATACACATAGCATCATAAATATTTCATCATTAAAATTAAATAAAAAGTTAATATAATATATATGCTTCATTCATATTTTAAAAGCATAGTATAGACATGTATAGGCTATTAAAAGTAATACGAAAATTAATATTATGACTCTTTTCATTATTTATAGTTGATTTAAAATATATTTCTAATTTACAATAAGATTATTGTTACAAATATTCGATGTAACTTAAATTAATTTTAAATATTATATTAATTAATATAATAGAAAAATCAATTAATACAATAGAAAAATTATATTTTTTAGAATTTATTATATAATTTTTTATAATATATAAGTATTATAAAATAAATATAAATTGACATATAAAAATAATTAAAATGGGATGTATAGTAACATATTGTGCAACTTCTATACTTTGCTGTGCAGGAAAGGAATTTTGTAAAAGTTTTTGTGGATGTTTTAAGGCATGCTGTAATACATCTTGGAAATAACAAATACGTTTAGTATACATATTATTAAATTTAATATTATTGATTTTAACAATAATATTATTTTACGTTCTTTAATTTATATTTTAATATTTTTCTTAATTTGTAAAATGTCCTTCTTAATCAGGTTCTAATAATACTTGCTTGGGGGTAAGTGCAGTATATAGAATGAGTTTTTCAATGGCAACATAATATTTAATATTGTTAATATTAATATCGGACATATTTCCTACATAATTTTAAAAACTATATAATGAGGGATTTTGGTGTCTTAAAGTAACTATAATAATAGCGATTTTCATAAGCTTTTTTTTCGTTCCGAATTCTTTTTTCAAAGGCTATTCAGAATTTGCAAAATATTTTAGTATAATTTATCTTCTTTTTTAATCTGTAATCATAATAGATCTTTTTTATATTTGGGCTTAAAAATTTGCCTAAATGTATAACGAGGAAAAAAAAACTAGTTATATGAAATATTTACTTATTTTTACTGCGTTTGCACTTTATTCTCTTTCAATTACTTTAAATACTTTAATGTTTGTGTGGTTTAAAGGATGCACACTAAATACAATAGTTTCTTCTATTAATTTAATAATTCTTTTTTTTCTTACTTGTATATAAATTACTGGAGTTAATTAATAAGCATCACTTATTAGTACTGGAGCAATGAGTCTTTTTACTACTTTTTTAACTTTTTCTGCTTAGTTTAGTTCACCAAATTCTGAATGTAATTCATTAATTGATGACAGTAAAAGTGGATTTTATTTTGATCTTTCAATTAGTGTTTTTTTGTTTATTATTGTTATGTTCTATATTACTTTTAATACTAAGCACGATGGAAATTAAGATGGAAAATTTAATTAGATTGTACTAGCAGGAAAATATGATGATGAGGAAGAAGAAAAAGGCTTATAAGCAAATTAATCATAATAAAACCAAGAAAAATAATTATAATAATTAAACAAAAATTAAAAAGTTTAAGAATACAACAAAGAAGATAAAAGCATTAGTGAATTCAGGATTTTTCATATTATTATGATTTTTTTTTCTGTATATCTTTCTATGCTTATTACTAATTGGGGAAGTCCATCTTTTGAAGAATAAAATTTTTTCTAATTATATTAAAACTCAGAAAGTAGTTTTTGGATTAAAATTATTGTTGCTTGGATTAGTTAAGCACTTTATTTATGGACTTTAATTGCTCCTAAAGTATTGTCGTGGCGTAAATTTTGAAAAAATATAATATTTCTAATCATTATAAAAATATATATAGAAATTTTCTCTTTTTAAATTTTTTAAAATTGAATTTAAATTTATTTTGCAAATATATATTTTTTTTTAATAAATATATAGTAAAATTATTTTAAAAAATAAAATATATATCATTTGTTTTTTTTCCTGTTACGACATTCATTCCTCTTTTAATTTATTACTCATTATTTAAAATTATATTTTAAAGATGATTTTTTTCTTTAATTTTGAGATTATTTTCTACTTCATTAGCTCTTTATAAATAAGAAGCACTTACACTATTATTAATTTTACTTTTATTATGTTTATTTCCAATTTAATATTTTGAATAATCTTCTCTAAAATGGGCGTGTTCTCTATGAATATTATTTTAGCTTCCCAAAATACCATCTTTTCCATAATTAGGATTAATACTTTACATATATCTTTATGAAGGACGAATCGTTTCTTTTATATTTCCATAATTTTCTTAATCTTTTTTAATTATTATAGATTTTTCAATTTTTTTTTATTAATCCTCTTACAAATTATATTCAGCTAAATAAATTTTATCTTCATCATCGTTTTTTAAATTAAAAAGATCAGTAGGTTTAAAATGCCCAGTGTTTATATTTTTCATATCTGAAAAGGAAAGTTTTTCAAGCTCTTGCCAACTAACTTTATCACCTTAATCAATGCTTCCTAAATGATTTTTTATTTTATTATTTGCGTAACTATTCGTTTAAGATGTTGATGGCATCAAAATATTTATATTTCCTTAATTTGATATCTTTTTGATTTCAAATTATTAACTTGGTTAAGAAATACTATTATTTTTTTGCATTAATTAATTTATTCTTTTTTATTCCTTATGTCCTTATATTTTATATTTAATTTTAGGATCAACTTTTTTTAATACTATTTCACGTCCTTAGTCAGAAGGAAGCTGTCTAAAACCAACTTTTTCCTTTATTAATAATTTATAATATAGATTAGATTTATATATATATATATAAATATATAAATATAAAGATATATGTATATATATATATATATATATATATATATTCATATATATAATTTTTTATATATATTTTATATTTTTGAACCTGTATTCCAAAAGGTTAATTTAATAATCTGAATTTAGATTTTAATTTATTTAAATTATCAATTTCTAATATTTAATAAATTTTTTCAACTTTTTCTATGCTTGATAATTCTTCCTCTTCTTTAAGATATGTTAATGCAACTTTTTCTATCAAAATCTTAAAGTGTTCTAAATCTAACTCTTTATAATTAAGAGCATACTTTTTGAATAAAACTGATATTTCTTTTTTCGTTACATATTTATTTTATCCTAATATTCCGAATTATTTCAAAAACAAGAAAAAACTTGCTAAATTAATTATATTTTATTCATGAACTATTCTGTCAAAAGTAAAAGCTGGTCCATTAACATTTTATTGTTTTGCATAAAAAGTGAAGATTTCTTTTAAATTTCTTTATCTCGTTTATTCTAGCGTTTTTGCAGTTTTATAAGTTTTAGAATTTGTATGTTTATTTCCTTCTATAAAAAAAAGAAAAAAAAAATTATTATTTATAAAAGATTTTAAATACTTGTTAAGGCTTCTAATTATTATTTCAAATTATTAATCATATTAACAGCTACTTGTTTTTCTTAAGGAGAAACAAATTAATTGTTAGACAAATACTTTTCATAATGATCAATATTTTCTTTAATTTATTTTTCTAATTGACTTTCCTTAACTTCAAAATCATCTTTAGAACTTTATTAGAGGTAAATATTTTAGTCATAATAAATTAAAAAATAACAGAAATCAACAAAATCATTATAGAAAATTCTCGTTGTATTTGGATCGAATTCTTTCATACTTTTATTTGAAATGCAGTATTTTTCAAGTGCATCAAGTATATATTTATAGCTATTAGGCTTACTAAAAATTTCATTTTCATCATTTTTTTAAGCATGAATTGTTATATTATCATAATACAAGGCTACACGTAAAACTAAAGGAATATCACTTGCTAATATTGAAGCTTATTATTATTCTTGTTATTATTAATCCGTATTAAATTGCTTTTGTTAAAATTCTGCAAAATAAGATTGTATTTCTTGTTGGAAGTTTCTGAAAAAAAAATTCAATAAGTCAGTATTTTGCTATAAATTTTATGATTATAACTCTTCTTCTTGTCTATTTTATTTTAAAATATTTAGTTCTTCTTGTTACTTTTACTATGAATCTAAAGAATCTTATTGTTAATCTTGCGCTTATTTATTTTGACTATTATTTTCTATTTATTCTTGTTCAATGCTTTGATCTTCTTCTTGTTCTTCTTGCTCTTCTTCATCATTATGATCTTATTATTCTTCTCTTTCTTAAAAGAATTAGTCTTATTCGTGTCCTTATTCTTCTTCTTTTTTATTATCTTATTCGGCTTCATAATTAATTTCTTGGTTACTTTATTAGATTAATTATTTTTCGCTCATTTATATTATATATTTTATTTTTTTTCCTTTTTATGAAACGATGTTAGAAAAAAAAGTGATTTAAATATAATTTTAAAAATAATTTATATATTTAATAAATATATATTTCTTTTTTAAATATTATGAAAAAGTTAATATTTAAAATATCAAATATGAATATTTATTTATATACATAATCTTTTTGTCATAATATCATAATAATTTAATAAAATAAAAACTTTTTGATAAATTATTCATAAATAATAAATTATTTAATTAAAAAATAATGTATATTAATTTTATAATAAAATAATATTATTTAGAATCTTTTCTAATATTTTTTTAATTAATAACAATTATAATATTATAAAATAAAATATTATTTTAATTATTAATATAAAAAATGATAATGATCAAATAACCAAATAAGGTTTTACATCAATCAAATGAAGAATTAGTTCTCCAAAAAACGAATTAGCCCATGCAAACCATGTTCTAGTATAATCAGTAGAATTATTAACATTAAATGATTCATGCATAAAAAGAGTGTCATCAGTTGTATTTTTTAGCATTTCTAAGCAATATAATATTTCCTAATCATTTTAACTTGTGATAGCTCTAGTGATAATAGATAAAGGCCATGCGTATTAAAATCCAATATGTGGTCCTCCAATTCCCTCACCTTATTTTCCTTTGAAGAAATAAGGATTTTATGAACTATCAAGTATCATTTTTCTTGTATTAATATATAAAGTATCATTTTAAGAAATAAAACCTAAATAAGTTAAACTTAATAAAGATGGTAAATTAGCATCATCCATTTTTAGAACATTTCCAAAGCCGTCTATTTCATAAGCGAAAATATCATTTCCTTAATTATCTTTAGTAATACCCCTTAAATAAATATCTGTTTTTATATCTTTACTTAATTATTCGTATTTTTAGGATAATGTTGCATTTTTTTCTTTTATTGAATCTGCTGTTTTTAGTAATTATACACTCAGCATTGCGTTTCCTGGTATATTAAATGCATAGATGCAAGCATCATCTGAAGGTCTAAATGCAGTTTTTACCATCCCACTTTTATCGCTAAAGCTAGGATTTCCTCTTCCATGTTAGGTACTATCAGTTGGGTTATTGGCAAATCTTTGAAATGTATAATGTACCTTTCCTTGTTAATCTTCTTAAAAAGTTCCTTTTTATTGATCTTTAAGTACATCATAAATTAGCTATAAAGCTCTAAAATAATCTTAAGTCATAAAAGAATCGTTTCCTTAAGTTTATTCAAAGAACTCATTTTGAAGTCTGAGGACTGATGCTAAAGAGTCGATTTCAAATTTCCTTTCCCATAACTCCGGGATCATAGCATTTATTTGTCTACCCTAAGAATCTAATTTTGTTGATTTATCTGAATCCCAAGGAGAACCTGTAGGCTTAAAATTAAAAGCATTCGCATATGGGTCGATTAGCACATTATTTATTTGCCTATTTATTAGCCCTAATATTAAATCTAAAAGCTTTTTATCTTCTTTTATGTATCTTATATATGGAATCACTTAGTTTGTGGAATCTCTTTACCACATTGCTTCGATATCTCCTGTTATTATAAACGTGTCAGGAATATTTGATATATTATTATATCCGAAGTAATATATTGTTGTATCTAAGGTGTTTGGATAGTTTTGATAAAACATTTAAGATAATAAAGGATCTTTTAGTTTATGGGTTATATTTTTTATTACTTCTTCAATTTTTGGAGATGTAAATGTACGATTTTATGGCCTTTATTTAAAATTATTTTTGATAAAAAATGCTTTGGATTATTTTAGTACAAATATAAATAGAAATATATGAAAAAGGAATTTTTTGAAATACATTTGTTTTTGTATTTTTTTTTGTAATTTTTTAATTATTTTATGAATAAAATAAAAAATATTTTTTATTTTATAATTTAATTATAATTAACATTGTTTTATATATATATTTAATAATTAATTTAAATAAATGGAAATAATTAAAGGAGATAATAAGATTCCAAAATTACTTAGAAAATAAACAATAAGTACAGTATTAAATTAAACATCTAATAGTCACATAAAAGGATAAATATATAAAGTGAAAAGTTAAGAGCATGAAATTAATTCAAATAGTATTTTTAAAGTAAATAAAAAATAAATTCACACAAAATAAAAAAATAGTTAAATATATACACAGACTCCGAAGAAAGCATAGATAAAGAGACAGAATAAATAAATAATTAAAAAGAATTAGAAATAAAATAAAAATAAAATAAGATAAAATATGTTGAAACTTAAATGACTTTAGGGGCTGAATAAACTAAGGCAAAATTAAATTCAGTATTTTTATTAAATCAAGAAGGAATTATTAAAAAAGAAAAGAACCATACTTAAAATGGAGAAAATATTTAGTCTGGGAATAATTATGAATAAAAAGTTTATTTAGGAAATATTTAAGATTTCGTTTATGTTAAAGAATTAACATAAAATAAAAATCTTTCAATAAATAATGAGTTATAGGAAACTATTAATAATGAAAAGGTAATTATTTAAGTTAAAACGAATGATTTTTTAACTTTTGTGAGAGTATATGATGAAATTGATGAGATTAAACGAAAGAATAACATTCTTTAATAATAAAAGCGTAGTATTTTTAAAAATTAGAATGATAATTCTAATGCAGAAAGAAAGAATTTTTTCAAATCAAATTCTATTGATCTTGATAATTCAAAAGAAATAAAACTTTCGGATTTATTATACTTCAATTATATGTAAAATTAATCTTTACCTCCTTAATAAAAAAATAACCTAAATGGTTTTGTTGCACTTTCAAATTTTAAAAAATACGCTGGAAAATTCAAAAAAGCTCTTAATTAAATCAGAAAAAAAAAATCCAATATTAATGAAGAATTAATTAATAATAAAAGTACATCGAAAAAGTCTTTATAATCAGTTTCTTCATTATAATCTTCTAATTAAAATTATTAATAATATGATATTCATAACAATAAAAGTAATAATCAAATTTAAACCATAAGTTAATTAAAAATATATAATACAGTTGAATATAAATGACCTTTTTGATGATAAATAAATATTAAATATTAATTTTATTTATTTATTTTTTGTAAAAAAAACACTAAATTTAGAATTATATAATGTGATTTGATTATACAATAAAATTAAAATATAAAATTAAAGTTAATAACATTTATTAAATTGAGAAAAAAAAAAAAAAAAATATGTGGACAAATTTAAAATAAAAGAATTTAGAAAATCAATTTCAAATTTATATTTATAAAATTAAACTTCTAAAATAAAATAATTTTTTCAAATAATGTTAAAAGTTAAGATTTTAAATAAAATTATTGAAACTGTTTTCCATTCTGTAATTTTAGTTAATAATTTTTAAAATATTAAATATAATTTTAATATAAATCTAGAGTTAAAATATTTTTAAGGTCATAAATTAATTTTTTATTTATATAATTTTATATTCATAAATATAATCAATTATTATAACAGTTTACATAATTGACAATCTATTTAATATATAATTGTATTTTAATAAAATATCAGTTTTGAAAATAATTATACATGGCATATATATATATGAATCATAATTATAATATAAATAAAACAAAAAAATCAGATTTATAATAAAATTATAAATAATATATTGTTTACAGATATATTAAAAATAATAATTTATATTATATATTTTAGTTTTTATCTGATATTTTTTATATTTAATTTTTTTACTTAAAACAAAGAAACGTTCTTTAAAAAACTAATACAAGGCACTAAATAATTTAAATATTTTTACATTAAATAATGCTTTAAATAAAATCAGGTTATATTGTAATAAAGAATATGAAAAAATATTATAATAATATATTATTAGTTTTGATGTTTTTTTATTATCTCTTGTCTTCAAATAAGAAAATTGTAAAGCTAATATTAATTTGTATTAATCTAATATTAAAATATATTACATTATTATAAAGTTATTTTTTAAATTTTAAAATAATTTTTTTTACACTTTTCGAATGATTAGATATTCTTATTAAGTATTAAAACAATTAATTATTATTAAAAATATAGTTATAAAGTCTATTGATCAATATTTTATTACTAAATATTGCCAATAGTTTAATTATTTTTTTTAAAGGATTTCTGTTTTGAAAGAAAAGTTATAGTTCTTAATTAAAGTCTTAATTTATATTAATACAATTAATTACAATTAATAGTTTTTATTATTATAAAGAATATAAGGTTTTTTAGAATCTGATATATTAAAGATTTAATATTTTTATATAATAATTTATTATTCTTATTGATAAAATAGACTTATTGTTAATTTATATATTTTATTTTAGTATATCAATAGAGTTTAAAAATTATTTATTCGAATTTTATCTAATAAAAAATAAAAATATTTAATTTTTTTTTAAAAAAAATATAATTTATTTTTTATTTAAATTTTTTATTAATATTTTATATTTTTAAAATAAATAAAAATATTTTATGTATATTATTATTTTTAATTTTAATTTTATTAATAATTATCTTAAAACTTTTATATTTTTTGCATTACTTTAAAAAATATATTTATAATTTTAAATTAATATGTTTTTGATTTGTTTATAATATTTATTGTCATATAATACTTTAAAAATAAACCCTTATATTGTTATGCAAATTTACTTGTTATTAGAATAAGATTCTGCTATAGTATCTAATTTTTAAATAAATTAATTTTTTTTATTTTTTCAAAACCAATAATTATAATTACTTGCTTTTTCATTTAATATCTTTATAATTATGAAATTTCATATTCTTAATTTAACTTTGTTTGAATTTTTCCAAATTCTAAGAAAATATTTTATTATATTTATTAAATATTATGTTTTAATTTTTTAATAATTTCACTAGCAATAATTATACAAAATAAATAAATTATTTTAAACATTTGTATTTATTAATTTATATTTTAATTATGTAAGTAACATTTTATATTAATAAATTCATAAGCTATTTATTTCTTTCTCCTTTTTAAATTCTTAATATTCAGACATATTTTTAAAAAACAGATTTATTAATAAATAAAATTAATAGTTACTTTATAATTTGTTTAATATTAAATAAAAATAGATTTATATAAATATCTTAAAACAAAACAAAAAATTATTGTATAAAATATATATATATATAATTTTATATGAATATATTTTTTTTTTGTGGTAATAAATGAATTTTTATTAAATAGTCTTCCTAAACATACATCTTTAAAATGAATAATAATTTTTTTATTATTAATTTTAATTATAAATTAGTATGTAAAATTTTAATTCATTATTATAATGAATTTTTATTTTTTTCTTGAATTTTAATTGTTTTCTTGAATTTTAATTATTTTCTTGAATTTTAATTATTTATTGAGATTAAGAAGTTCTGTTAAAAAGTTAATAAATCATACATAAAAATTTATTTAATAACTTTAATAATAATAATAATTAAAATAATTGATTTTTTATATATTTACTATTATTATAATATTTTTTTATCCAAAATACATTATTTCATTTATATTCTTTAAATTGTATATTTACATATTTTCTTTTAAATGTTCAAAACTTTAATATATAAAATAAAAAAATTATCTGTAAATTAATATAATTATTGCATTTTATTAATAATAAATTTTAAGTATATAATTTAATATTATGTTTTTATTTATAAATTAAAAATTTTGATATATATATTTTTGATTAAAAAGAAAAAATAAAAAAGCTAACTTTATACGCATAAAAATAAAAACAACTTAATACAAAAATATGCAATAAATTAATTCTTTAAGCAGCAGAAGTATGTAATTATAAAAAAATAGTTCTTAAGATAGGATTCAAACAGATTTTATATATAATTCAAACAAAGAATAACTCAAAACTCCGAACATAAAAAGCGCAAACATGTAACAATAATAACTGCAGTAAATTTTACAAAAGAATTAGCATTAATATAGTTAATAGCATTAAGCATATTTTAAACCAGCTCAACCATCATCATTTAAATATTCAATTAATGAGAGTAAAAGAAAATAAATGGTATTTAAAATTAGTCTACCTTAAAAAATTGATAAAAGCTAATAAGAATCAGATATTTAAAATTTACAAAAAAATGGAATTACAAGCCCTACAAAAATAACAAAAAACAATGAAATAATTTCATAAGAAATACAAAAGTACAAACAATATAATAAATAATTTAATATGATTTCGGATATTTTTTAGGAAAAACCTTAATTTTAATAAGAAAAGTAGTCTTTAATAGAATAAGATTCTATTCATAATTAATTGAAAATTAAATTAATGTAAAAAAACACATAAAAAAAGAATCTTACATAAGAAATATTTATAAATAATTCTCCAGAAACAAAGAAGTCATAGACATTTTAATAAAATCTAAAAAAAACCATTTAAAAAATACCTCAGTCAATAGTTTTAGCAGATAAAAAAATTGATGAGAATTTTTAAATAAAAGCAGAAAATGAAGAAGATTATAATTTAAGATAAAAAAATCTTTAAAAAATATAAAATGAAGGCATTTTATAATATATTAAAGGTATAAATATTGATTGTGAATATATTTTTAAAGAAGATATAGAAAAGTATATATTTTAATTTATGGATAATATTTATTTTGATAAGTTTGAAGATTTTTAAGGGAATTATTAAGAAATGAAAAAAGACTTAGAAAAAGAAATGTGTAAAATATTGATTAAAAAAAAGAAAAAAAGATAAAGAAACTATATTTATCCTTGAATAAATAAAATTATATGAAGAAGTTCTTCAAAAATATTTAAAAAGAAGTTTATTTTAATTAGAAGTCGAACATAGAAATATAATTTTTGAGATTTTTAGTAGTTTATTGTACTTGTAATAGAAAAAATATCTTGTTTAATAAAAAGAAAAAAGAGATAATATGAAGCAGTGCTTAGATGATACTAAAAAAAGTGAAGAATTATTTAAAGTTCAGATATTTGGAAAAGAAGAATATGTAGAAGCTTTTAGGCTAAAAATGTGTGAATTTTAAAATGAAAATTAAAGACTTATTTAAGAATTGGTAAAAATGAAAAAAATAAATGATGAATAAAAGACTTTAATTCAAAAATAAAATAAAATATTTGTTAAATTTAAAAATGAGTATTTAAAAATAAAATAAACTAATGAAAATTTGTAAGAACGTCTTTAGTAAAAAATGTAGTTTTAAGAAAAAAATTAACAATTGGAAACCAAAAATAATTAATTAAATAGAAAATAACCTTCGTTAATGAATATGTAATCACCTTAAAAGAAAAAATATATATGCAGTGTACTAAAATCACAAGGAAATCTAGATAAACCTTTTTATGAAAAATCGTAAACTTGTTTAGATAAATCATAGTTTTAAATTGAAGGTAATGAGAAAATTACAGATATATTTTCAGAAATTAAAGCAGAAGATAAAATTTCGAATATCTCGTCTTCTTCTTCTTTATTTTCTGGTAAAGAAAAAATGGATATTGAATAAATTTTATAGGAAACTCAAAAAATTACTAAAGTTGACATGTAAGGAATGCTAGTGAAAGAATAAAAAGAAGTACTTCCTTTAATTTATTATCATAAGGAAACATAAACGGATGCTAAAATATGCTAATAAGTTAAAAATTATTTTTAAACTTAAACGGAAGTTTCTGTTTTAGATTAAAAATATGATTTAATATTTTAAATGGAAAAAATAGATAGACTTTATGATTAGGAATATTTGAAAGATGAAATAATTAATATTTCAAACTTTTCAAATGAAAATTTAGAAATTAATACTTCATTATTATTAAATCCTTAAAAAAATAATGATCCAAACGATAGAATTAGTGTTGCTTAAATTGTAAAAGGATTTTCAGTCTTTAAAAAGAAAAAATTTGTCTAAAAAAATGATGTGGAAAGATTAGCTGAAAACTTAAATTATTTAAAAGAATTTTTAAATGAATCTGAAAACGAATAGATTTTTGAAGAAAATAAAGAAATTTAAGACTATAGTGAAGAAAATTTAACAAAAAATAGTAAATAGATTATTTCTTCAGAAATAAAATAATAAATTGTCTAAATAATATAACTATTTAATTTGGAAATTGAAAAAAGCTTTAATTATTAATAATCTATAAAAACAATCATTTAAATGCTCTAATAACTATTCACATTATCATATAAGATGTTCAATCATATCTAAAAAACTTAAAACGAAACTCATAAAAATATTGTGGAAAACTTCTTTACTTAATTCACATCCCTAAGATGGATTTTACCAAGAGAGATAGATTAAAAACTTGAAGAAGATCTGAATCCAGCTGAATATATGAAAAAGAAAATTGAAAAAAAATAAAAGTAAAAAATGGGAATTAATAAAAATAGTAAAACTCAATAGATTCAATAATAAAAAAAACTATCACTTTAAGATAAATAAATACACCCGGGGATTGTTTTGGCAAAAAAGGTAAGAGAAATAAGCATAAATAAAAAAAGTTTTACTGCCTTTTTACCTATAAAGTCTGTTTTGAAATAAATAACGCTCTTTTTTGAAGAAAGATATAGAAACTTATAGTAGAATTAGCATGATTTCGAATTACAAATTGTTGTTTTTAATAAATTCATGAATTAATATGGATTTAAAAATGTTGCTGAGTAAAAATTCCTTATTTTTTTGATGAATATTTTGAATTATTTATAAATATTTAGAGTCTTTACTTTCGCAAAATTAATTAATATCATGCAAATTGATTCGGAAAATTACACTGTTGATGAAATGGATAAATATATGTCTGGATGGTATTATATGGTTTATTAATCTTAATTAGGAGTTTCGATTTCTTTTAGTGATTCTGATACAAAAATTTATGTTCATTAATTAAGGGCTTTAGATTATTTAAAAGTTAAATTAGAAAAAGTAATGGAGTTATAAGAAATTACTGAATTAAGGTAATTTATAGGATAAAAAGTTGAAATTGACGCTAAAACAGGAAATAAAATTATTGATGTGGATATCTTTTTAACTAGTATTTTGTAAAAATATAGAGTCACAATGTAAAAAACAAAAGCGTTTGTAAAAAATGCATTTTTCGCATGTGATTTAGATGGTAATGGATCAATAAATTTGAATGAGTTTTTAACTTTATATCGACATATTGAAAAAGAGAAATTTGTATTAACTAAAGTACTTAAAATGTTCGAAAATTATGCTGATATAATTGGAGATGAAGAAAAATGTATTTCTTTTGAAAGATTTACAACTCTATGTGTTGAAAATTAGTTATTTTATGAAAACTCATAAAGGAAATTTATTGATATTTATGAACAATATGAAATTTAAAATAAATTTTAAGAACTTTAGGATAATTGGAAAGTTGAAAAAAACTAAATGAATTTAAAAATCGATAATCTCAAGCCTTATATTGAAGTCAAATAGTTTAAAATTTGGAAAGAAATAGTAGGTGTGCTTTAGGATAGAATTTTAAAAAAATATTAGATTAAAGACTTAGAAAATTAATAGGTTTAGGAAAAAAATTAGGATTAAAGCGAAGAATTAGATATTGTTGAAGAAAATGACTAAATAGAAGTGCTTTCTTCTAAAGATTATTTTAGTAAACTTATGTCTATACTTATTGCCCATAAGTTATTAATTTGTGAATTATAAAGGCTTATTGATGTAGGATAAAACGATAATCTCAATTCGGAATCTGAATATTAAGATTTTAGTGCTGATGATGAAAAAAATAATGAAGACAAAGTTTTAGATAACGGTAAGAAAAAATGATTTTATTTTTTTTAAAAAAAAAAAACAATTAATATAAATATAATAGTTTTTTATTTTTGTTAAGTATTTATTATTTTATTAACTCGATAAACAAGAAATAGAAATTTCTTTTTTTTTAATTTATATAGAAATTAATTTTTTTTTTATTTTCAAATATTTCTAAGAAATAAAAAAATAAGATTATTTTATACTCTATTAGATTTTCTTTCTAAAAAATAAATAAATAAATAATAATGTTGTTACATTCCCTATTTGCAAAGTCAATTACTAAATAAAGTATGTTTCCTTATAAATAAGCTTTAAGCATAAAATAAAGAAACTCTTTTATAAGCATTAAGCATTTTTAACTATAAGTAAAATATTAATTTTCTACTATCGAAAATGAAAAAAATTTTAAACCTTCTACTGAGACACCTAAATCATCAGATAGTTTCAAGCCCAATATAAAAGATGGAATACCTAATCCAGTACATGATTTAGTGAAACCAGGAAAGGAAAAAATAATAGGATCATGGCTATTATTTACAGCGTTTGCAGTATTTGGAATGATAGTTTTAGGGGGTTATACACGACTATCAAAATCAGGTAAAAAATAATAAAATAAAAATAAATGAAAAAATTAAAAAAAATAAGGTCTATCTATGACAAAATGGAAACCCATAGACTATAAACTTCCATAAAATGATGAAGAATGGTAGAAAGAATTTGAAAATTATAAGAAATATCCTGAATTCTTACTTGCAAATAGAAACATGGCATTAAATGAATTCAAGAAAATATTTTTTGTAGAATGGATACATAGATTTTATGGGTCTTCTTTAGGATTTATATTTGGTATACCATTATTAACATTTACGGTATTAGGTATAAAAAAAAATTAAATATAAATTAATAAAAATAATAAAAAAAAGGATGGTTAAAACCTAAATAATTAATTAGATTATCTGGATTATTATGTCTTGGAGGTCTTCAAGGGTTAATAGGTTGGTGGATGGTAAAAAGTGGTTTAGATAAAAAGCCTGAATATTAAAATCGTCCAAGAGTATCAGTTTATAGATTACAGGTTCATCTAGGGATGGGTACTCTTCTTTACAGCGGTTTACTTTGGAATGCTTTAAATTTATTAAGGAAACCTTAAGAGCATATTTTAAATGCATAAAGTATTCATTCAACTTTAAAATTGAGATCTCTTCTAATTGGTTTAATTCACGTTATTGCTCTAAATATTATATCAGGTGCTACTGTTGCAGGATTAGATGCAGGAAAAGTAAAATAAATTAATTTTTTATTTTATTTTTTATGTTAGGGATATAATACTTGGCCTGATATGGATGGTTAATTTATACCAAAGGAGGCTTTTAATAAAAATTCTTTGATTTAAAATATTTTTGAAAATAAAGCACTTGTTTAGTTTAATCATAGAATGTTAGCATATTTAACTACAAGTTGGACAATTTATACTCTTTATCAAAGCACTAATATGATTTTACTAAAACACCAAAACTTAGGTTTATATTTGGTGGGATTTTTAGTGTTTTATTAGGTTTATTTAGGAATTAATACTTTATTAAAAGGTGCTCCTCTTAAAGAGTCATCATAGCATTAAGCAAATGCTTTATTAACTCTTTCAGCTGCTTTGTATACTTTACATTGTTGCAGAAAGCCTAATGCTTTGTTTTTAAGGAATTTTAAATGAAAAAATAACAATAGCAATAAATACTTTTATTTTTATTTTTTTATAATATATTTTATATATATAATTAAAAAAATAAAATCGACTTTTAATCGAATTATATATAATCTTTTCTTAAAATTAAATTAAACTTTGTTCATTTTCTTTTAAATAATTAAAATAAATAAAAATTTATTTAATTAATAATAAATATCTAATATAAAATGATTAAAGATATTTTATTTAATACAATAATAACATTTAATTATAGTCAATTAAAAAAAAGAAAATAATATATTAATAATAAATAGAAAATTAGTGAAATCTTATAAAAAATCAATGCTTCAGCGCTTAAATTAATGAATATTAACTACAAGATATAATTAAGGAAGTGATTAAATAAAGAAATTATCAGAAAATCATCTATAAACTTAAAAAATGCATATAAAATAAAAAATACTTTTATTATAATATTATTAGTTATTATAATTTTAAGTATAGCTTTGTGTATGGGAAATTTGAATTGGTTGATAATGAAGAAAATAAATATTGTAAATTAAAATAATATTTTCTTTATTTTAAAAGATATTTAAAATTACGTTTCACGTTTCATAAATTATTAATTTTATTTACGTATGTATATTGATTCAAATTTTATATTTATAATAAATATATAAATAAATATATATTAAAAAATAATTTTATCTAAAAATTATAATATAGTGTATAGAATAAAAAAAAATTATTAAATAACATTGATTTATTAAAACACGATTATTAAAATAATTTTTAATTTGAAGTATAATTTTTTATTTACTAAACAATTTCATTTTGTTATTAAAAATTTAAGAAATTATTGTCTTTTGTTATAAATATTTAAATAAATAAATGAATTATGATTAAAAAAATATAATCTAATATTAATATAAATAATAAAAAAAAATTGTATATTTTTTTTAATATAATTTAATAAACATAAAATATTAAAAAGAAATGAATACTGAAACAGAAAAAAGCAAAAATATTTTAAATTTAATTCAATTATCATATATAATTTTATCAAGTGCATTTTTAACTTACAAATTATATTAATACACAAAAACACAAATTAAAAATCCATCTATAATAAATATACAAAAATAAATAAAAGATTAAAAAAATGATGAGAAAAATATCAAAGCTAAAAATAATAATAATATTGAAAAATCTGAAAAAGAAATGAGTTCTAGTAGTGTAGCGATTACTACTCAAAGCAATCAATAACAAGATTAATGGAAACAAATAAATATATAATGTGAAATCGAGAAAGCAAACAAAAAAATGCCATCTAAAAACAAAACGCATTCTCTTTATAATATAGAAAACATTACTACAATTTTACCTGAAGAAATAGTTGAATAATCAAAACATTAAATTATTAAGATATGTTTAACAGGAGGCCCTTGTGCAGGTAAAACTTCTGGTCTAGCATTTTTGAGTGAAAAACTAAAAGATGATGACTTTAAAGTTTATTTGATTCCAGAAGCAGCGACCTTAATTTCCACAGGAGGGGGAATGCTAGAATAATCAAATTATACAGATGAATAAATAATTAATTTTTAAAAAATTCTAATGAGAATTTAAATGTCTTTAGAAGATTAATTTTATTAGTTAGCAGAAATGTCAGGAAAATAATCAATTTTGATTTGTGATAGAGGTTTATTAGATGGAAAAGCATTTCTTTAATAAAAATAATGGTATAAAATATTAAAAGAAATGAATGTTTCTGAATAAGAAATTCGAGATAAACGATACGATTCTGTTTTTCATTTAGTTACAGCTGCAAATGGGGTATATTTTTTATTTTTATTTTTTGTAAAGAAATAAAATAAATAAGGCATCTGATTATTATATTATGGATGGTGCACGTTTTTAAAATAAAGATTAAGCAATTGAAATTGATAAAAAATTTTAAAAGGCATGGATGGGACATTAAAAATTGGAAATTATTGATAATATAACTGTAAATAGCTTTTAAGAAAAACTGTAAAAACTTCTATATTTAATAAGAAAAAGTAGCGGTATTCCTGTCAAAGGACCAAAATTATACAAAAGACTTGTTATTGTTAATCCAGAAAATCACCCTAATTTACCGTCTTATTTATAAGTAATTTATATTTTATTTATTTTGGTGTTTTTTGATATTTTTTTCTGTATTTTTTTTTTTTCAAAGTAGTCAAAAAAAAGGTAGGATAATCCTATCCTTTATTTTTTTGATTTAATCTTTTTTTTAAAAAAAGAGAAATAAATCAAATTCAATATGAATAATATATACATATATATATATATATATATATATTTATATAATTTTTTTATTTATTTATAAAGTATGAAAGTTTTGAAATTGAAGATATATTTTTGTATAACTAAGAATATAATGAAAATAAAGGTAAATTAACAAAGATTAGAAAAAGAATTTAAAATAATGAATACATTTATATTTGCTCAGAAAATCATATTATTAATGGTAAATAAACTATGTATTATAAAAAAAGATTGAACTTTAGAGAATATGAACTTATTAAGGATCGTCAAGATACTAAAAGAAGTACCATTAGAAAAAATAGAAGATAATTTGTGCATAATGGATGTTTTTATGCTCTTGATAAATTTAAAGAATTTGACATGTGTATTTTGAGAATCAAAAATATATCTGATAATAATATTGCTAATATAATTCCCGAATTCCTTACTATTGATGCAGATGTAACTGATAATAAAGAGTTTAGATCAATTAATCTTTCTTTAAAATCTTCACCTTTGAGAAACGCAGATTTTTTAAAATAAGTTGTTTATTAAATTAAAGAATAATAAAAATGATATATTTATTATAAAAAAAAAGCAATTAAATTAATTTTTTTTTTAATTTAAATATAAATAAATAAATAAATATTTAGTATAAAAGATATATATATATAATGTTTTAAATAATTCGAATTGTATTTATTTTGATATTTAAATGAAAAATAAATATTTTTTAAATATTTAATTTAAATAGGCTATAATAAATATATATTAGTATATAAAAATTAGAAAATATTCTATTTTTTTAAAAATAAAATAAAAAATTAGAATAAATTTAATATTTTAATAATAAATATATATTTTTTATTATAAAAAATATATGATTTTTAACATAAGAAATATATAAATTTAAAATTTTTCAATAATTAAATGTTTCTTTAAAAATTTAAGCTAATTATTTTTCTTTTGGAGTATTTTCTTAAAAATATTAAATAATTTATTAAAACAATTAATTTCTTTGATTTTCATTACAAATTTGTTTAAAGAAAATATTTAAAGCATGTTTAAAAGTACTGTCATACATCCAAATCCTTCCTATTGAAATTTAAAAAATTGTTTTATGAATAATATCTTCATTTTATTTATCTAAATTTGCCAATTTTAATAAAAGAGCTACCAAAATTACATTTATATTTTATTTTTAGCTCAAAGCAATTTTATAAAGAAGTTCAAGTAAATATTTTCTATTTATATTTTCAATAAATAAATTAATAAATTACAATAAATTATTCTTATTTATAAACCAGCTATCTTCTAATAAAAATCTTTCTAATAAAATTAAATAAATAGATTGTTTTTTTTCATGTAAAAATTAATATTTTAAATTAAAATCTTATGCATTTTCTGCTTATAATTCTTTCAAATTAGCATATTATTATATTATTTTTTCCTAAAATAATTCAGGATAATCTCTATAAAATGAAAATATTTCTTTACTTTAATTTATTTGTTATTGTATTTTATCATAGATTTAACTAAATTATGGTGTATAAACAAAATTTTAATCGTGTTTTATTAATAGATCAAACGCATACTTTTACAATATATAGCAATTATCTATTTAAATATTATTTATAAAAAAATAAAAAAATATTACTGTAATTAAAAACTCCTATCAAAGATTAAAAGAAGTCATTTTTTTCACCATTTTATTAATTAATATGTTCATTTTCTGTTACTTATTCATTTAATAAATTTATTAATTTTTTTTCATTATTTCCTCTTCTTAATATTTCGATTATTTATTTTTAAACAGTTTCATTAAAATGTTAAAAATATTCAAATAAATCTTAAAACAATTCTTTGTAACAAAAAACCATAAAAACTATAAATAAATTATAAAAAATAAAAAATAAAAAATATAAACCTAAAAAAGATGCAATATGGCAAGATTCATTAACATCTAAATTTTAACTTTTTAATAAATATAATTTTTCATCAAAAGCGCTTTTTAAAAGCTCTTCGTTCCCTTTTGCAAATTTGATTCCATTTTTAATAAGCGAAATCTTATTATTAATTTACAAATAATATTTTAAGCATGTCTATTTGTTTTCTTCGCATATTTTAGTCATTAATTATAATAAATTTGATAAATCATTGCTTTCAAATTTTTAAGGTTGCCATCTGTATTCTTACTAAATAATAATACTTAATAAATTATATAAAATTTCATTATTTATATTAGTTTTTTAAATAAAATCTTTAATTAAATTATCGTCTTTAATTATTTCATTTATAAATTCATTTTTTTCAACAATAATTTATTAAGCAACATAATTAAAACATAATTCAAATCTTAAAAAATAAATAAAAATAATATACATAAATTTATTTATTTTTTTTAAAAAAAGGTATATATTACACTTTTTTTTCTTTGTTTTTTGAATAAATTTTTTCGTTTAAATGAATAGTTTATAAATATTTAAAAATATCTTTAACTCTATCTAAACAATGAAATAATTTTTTAATATCATTAAAAAATTTTTCAAATTAAAACAAAAGCATTCCAATTAATTGCCCTTTAAAATAAAATTCTAATTATTCTTTATCCACATTATTATAATCTACAATGGAAAAATTTAATTATTAATTATTATTTTATTCATTTTTTGTTTCTAAATTATTTGTTTTTATTTTCTTTATTTTGATTGTTTATAATTCTCCTTCTTCTATTTCTTATCTTAACATACTACTTTTTCTCCTTTCTAAATTAATTGTGTCTTTTATTTTTATTTTTTCTTCTTTTTCATTTGCTTGAATTATTTTTTACTCTTTTTCTGTTAAAATTCTAAGTATTTTCTTTATTTTTTCTTATGATGTTTATTATATTTTTAAATATTGATAACTTTTTAAATTATTTATAAATGTTTGTGCGTTTTCTTCGTGTAAATTATTCATGTTTTTATTGAAAAAAAATATATTAATATTATTTATATAAATAAAAATATATAATAATTATATTTTTTAAAATATAAAAAATATTTAATTTATTATAAAATTATTATTTTTTTTTTTTAAGATTTTATTTTATTAAATAAAAATCATATATTACTCTTTATAAATAATAATAGTATTTATCCAACATTTAAATTCATCAATTAAAATTATTAAATTTTTTATATTATTATTTTAAAATTTATAAAAAGTAATTAAATAACTATACTATTTATTAAAATCATAATTTTCTTATATAACTCTAAATTCTATATTTTTATTAGAATATTTTTTTATTTTAAATAAAATTAATTTTAACTTTAAAATTCAAATATTATTAAATTATATTAATAATTTACATTTATAAAATACCTGCCTTAAATTATTCTTTTAATTTTTTAGTTTAATTTATTATATTATTTTTTTGAAATCAAATTTAAAAATAGAGTTTATAAATTTATTATAAACTAATTTAAAATAAATTAAAATAATAGTATTTTTTCATTATAAATTTAATATACAATTTTTTTTTATTATAGTAAATTTAATCAAAATAAATAGTTGAAAAGAAAAGAAAAAAAATTACTTTTTTTTTAAAAAGAAAATTAAATTAATTTATATATATTTTGTTTTTCAATTTAATTTAAAATTAATTATTATTAAAACAAATACGTGTATTTATTTATAAATTAAATAAAAAAGATAAAAAAAATGAATTATTCTTTCAATTAACTTGAAACGATCAAAATAACAGATATTATGAGAGATCCTCAAAAATTTTAATAGTTTATGAGCAAAAACAAAGTAAAAATTAAATAAAAAAATTAAAAATACAAAAAATAGAAAGAAATAATACAATGGTCCTTATTATTAATATTATCAATTATATCATATAAATATTTTAGCTCTGGACATTTTTCATTTATATTAACTTTAAGTTCTTTAATGTAGACATTTGGATTCGGAATTCTTATTATAAAAATAAGGTAAAGTAAATCAATAGGAGGATTATCTCGGCATACAATTATATGTTATTTGATATGTTTTATATTTAGATTGTCATCAATTTTATTTTATGAAGGGTATATACCATCAGACTCATCAGGAGAATCAATATATTTAATAAGTGAAATAATAACATTGCTATTTATAATAATATTAATGTATTAAAGTTTTAAGACATATAAATTAACATATAACAATGAGTTCGATACATATAATTATATTTATTTTGTAATTCCTACTTTTATTATTGCTTGCTTGTTTCATCCAAGCCTTAATATTGCTATTTATTCGAATATTTTTTGGACTTTTGCACTGTATTTAGAATGCGTAGCTATACTTCCTTAATTAAATCTTTTCTAAAAAACTGGGGGAGAAATTGAGACTTATACTTCTCATTATGTCGCATCTTAGGGATTATCAAGGATAATGTAATTTATATTTTGGATATTTAGTTTTTAAGAATTAAATGGAGAATCTAAGTAAGGTAGTATTTCAATTACACCTAGTTATGCAGGATATTTTGTACTTTTTTCATAAGTTGCTTAGATTTTACTAATGGGAGATTTTTTCTATTATTATTTGAAGAGTATATAGACAGGAATTCCTTTAACTTTACCAACTTACGTTATTTGAAATTGATTTTATTATTAGTTTTGTTTATTTGTATTTATATATTAATTTTAATTCCTTTATATAAATTTTAATTAAATATTATAAATAATTGAGTATATAGTTATTTTTTTTTCTTAAATGATTTATTTTTGTAAATTTATATATATAAAATATAATTACATATATTTATTACTTTAAATCTTTTAAAAAATAATAGTAATTTTGGTTTATTATAATATAAATTTTATATAAAAAAAATCATTAAAATCATTATTATAATTCTTAAATTCCAGTAATGAAATGTTCCAAATTTAAAAGAACTACTAAATCATATTTTTAATTATTAAACAATTTCTGAATATAAATTTCAGGATGAATTGCTTTCCAAAAAAAGTCGACAAATTTATCGATTTCTTCATCATTCATTCCTTATCCTTTTTCTAAAATCATCTTTTTTTCAGCTTATTTTCTCCATATTCTACTATATTCAAATGTTATTGGACTTAATACAACTTAAGAATCAATGTATTTCCACAAAATTTCATATTTTTTTAAATTTCTCTACAATCTTCTGCGAATTTCATATCATTCTCATCTTATAATGGCTTTAAATACCTTAATTCAGTTCCAGATCCTTATAAGCCAACAAACCAGCCTTCAAAAAGGACTAAATCAGGGATTTTTTCCCATTTTTCGAACCCAACTCTATCCCCTTTTCCTTCCTACACAGACTTATCAAATATAGGAACTTCTATAGGGACCTTTCCTTGTTCTAAACTTTCCAAAACTTATTTTAGTAATTAATTATCATGAGTCCCTGGAGGTCCTCTATATAAAAACCTATTATCTTTTTCAAAAAGAAGTTATCTTTCTTCTAAAGTTAAATAAAAATCATCAATAGAAAACACTTAAATTGATAAATTTTCATTTTCGCCTAATTTTTTTATCAGTTTTGTAAATGTGGTTTTTCCTGCACCTTGAACACCTAAAATTCCAGAGATAAATGGTTTTTTTGGAGTTTTTTTTGATTTCATATATTCATAATAAGGAAGTACATAATAAAAATATGCTTGTAAAAGTTATTATATATTAATATTATTTTTATATGAAAATTAAATTAATTCTTATTAAAATTATTAAGTCTTTTAAATGTATTTTTATACTTGTTCTTGTATTTCATTTTCTGTTTTTAATTTGGATAAACCAAAAGGGACATCTTAATTTAATATTTTTAAATTTTCATTTAAAAATTTATTGTTTTTAACTTCTTTTAAAATGATTTGTTATATTTTTTTAGACATTTTTTTTATAGAATTAACAAATATTAAGTATATATAAATATAATAAAAATAAATATAAAAAAATAAATATACTTAATAAAATTTAAAAAAAAAGAAATAATTTATCAAAAAAATGTAAAAAATAGAGCAAATATATGATTATTCAAATAAACCATGTCCTAGAATAGGAAAAGATAAAATAATAATAAATAAATAATAAGTAGAATTAATAAAAAGTTTCGAAGATATAACTTTAGATCAATTTTAGTATATATTTGGATTATCACCTTAGAATTAAAACCAACAAAACTAAATACCAAAAATCGCTAAAAAAGAAAACTTAAATAATATTATTTATTTCCAAAATCGACTTTTTGAATAAAATTTTGATTCTAATTTTAATTCTAAAATAAAAGTTAATATTCTTAGTCCTGATTAATAAAACATATAGGAAAACTTTTTTTAAAAATAGGAATTTTCAAAATCTTAAATACAAACTTTTTAAAAAACTATGGATAAAAATTAATTTCAAAAAAAAATTTCTTTTAATATTAATTTTATAAAATAAGGTCTTTTTTGTAATTAAAAATACCTTTTTTAATTCTTTTATGCCTTTATTCTATATTATTTCCTTTAATTTCTTATTTATTAATACAATCTTTACTGGACTATCCGTTTATTATTTATATATTTGCCTCAATTTTTTTATGGATTGTCTTTTTGTTTTTATAGATGATACACTTTCTTTAAATGAAAAAAAGAAATGTAAAAAAGAATACTTTTTATTTTTATAATAAAAATAAAAGTAAAGAAAAATCTGATAAAATGACACTTTTTATTTAAATCTTTACAAAATTTTTAATAAAGACATTTTTAAATTTTATTTTTTTTGGTTTTTTATATTCTTTTATAATCGAAAATTATATAATAAAGCCTTTATATTACTAATATAATGAATCATTTCTCTTTTTAATTACTAAATTTTTTTTTAGAACATTATTTTTATTTCTAATAAATGCTATAAATTATTTTTTCTTAAATTCTGAAGTTAAAAAAGCATAGAAAATTATAAATTTGTAATAAACCTTTAATGAAAAAGGCATTTATTTTTAGAAAATGTACTTGGAGTTTATCATTGATATAAAATAAGGGAAAAAAAATGTTGAATAAATAGAAAAAAAAGATATTATTTAATTAAAATATACAGGATATATTATTTTTTGGTCAAGTATTTAATTCTAAGATATAATTATATTAAATAAAAGGTTCTTAATAAATATTTTAATGCTTATTTTATTCAATATTTTTAATATTTTTGTTTATTATATACGTTTTTTGGCATTTTTTATACTCTTTATTGAATTTGTAATATTTATTTTTAGATTTTAGAAATATTATAACAATGTTTTTTAATAATTAAACATTATTAATATGAGTGTAATGTTAAAAATGATTGTTTTGATTTTGAAAGATGATATTTTTTACTTAATTTTGTTTTTGGTTTTTAAAATTCTTTTACTTTTTATAACTCTATGTTTCTTATTTTGGACTTAAATAAAGAAAAAACAGGATGTATAATATTATTTATATAAGTAAAAATATACATATATGTTTTTTTATTTATAGTAAAAAAAATTATATATATATATATTTATAAAAAAATAGACTTTTAAATTAAAGTAAAATATTATTGGATTTCTTTTAATAGAAACTAAAAGTTAAATAGGATTTATTCTTTTATTATTTGTTATTAAGAAATTATAATTTAAATATATTTATTATATATTAATAATGGAATTCTTATTATATTTAATTATTAAAATAAATCTTGTAGATTAAGTGGCACTTTCTAAATTAAAAATCGGTTTAAATATGCTAACTTTTTATGTATATTTTTTCTTTAGCTGGTATTTTAATTTATTTATATATAATAAATGAAAAATAATAATTAATTATATATTTTATATAAAAAATAAATAAAATATTTTTCAATTTATCATAATATTCCTATTAATTAATTATTCTCTTAATAAAAAAATTTCGAATTCAGTTTATAATAAATCTTTTTTTTAATTTTTAATATTTCTTATTTTATTTCTTCTTATCCTATAGTTAATTTTACTAACTCTTTTTCTTATTCTTTTAATCTTTTTTCAATTGATTTTAGCTTCTTTTTTAATTTCGTTAGTCTTTTTTCATTTTTCTTTTTTATTTTGCTAATTGTCTAATCTCTTCTTTTGCTATTTTTATTTCTTTATTTATTTCGTCTTTCTCTTACTATATTTAAATCTCATTTAAACTTTATTTTAATTTTTCTTAATTTTTTATTTTTTCTTATAATATATATTGTTCATTTTCATCTTGTATTTTATTTTTTAATTTTATGTATTTTTATTTTCTTAAACTTATTAATTAAATTATTCTAGTAATTGAATATTTTTCTCATTTTATTAATATATTAATAACTATTCTTTATCTTTATCTTTTATATCTTCTTCTGGATTTATTTAGTTTAGATTTTGATATAAAGTTAAATTATTATTCTAAATAGAGTTAATTTTTTAATCAATAATTTAATCGAAGATTTCTATATCTTATTAAGATTATTTTATTTATTAAAATTCTACTAAAACCCCGTTTTCTAAAGAGTTTTTGATTAAAATAAGTAATTCTTTTTTTTCAAAATAACATTATTTTTTAATAAGGCAATTTTCTTTTTTTTATAAATGATATTCTTTGACTAAAAGAAGTATTTCTTATTATTTTAAAGTGTCTATTTTTTATAAAATACGTTTTTTACTTCTAACTAATATAATTTCACGTTTATATATAAACTCTTTTTGTAAATCTAAACACTTATCTTTTTATAACAATTCATAACATTTTTCTATTAAAGATTTTTATTTTATTTTCAAATTTAAATATTCATTCAAGCTATCTATTATTTATTCACTTGTTTAAACTGTTATAATTTATTCAAATATTTAATCAAGATTATTTATAGGCATTTATATTTCTATTTTATTTTTATTTTTATTTTTTGAATTAATTTTTTAATTTATTTTGTTGCTTTTAATTTTTTTTTATATTTTTAATAAATCTCACAAATTATTTTTATGAAGATTAAAATGATAATAATATTTTTTTTTTTAATAAGGTTTTTATTTTATTTTTTTGTTAAACTATTAATTTCTTTTTAATAATAATTTTTATTAACTTTTTGTTTATTCTAATATATTATTAATAAATATTTAATATATTATTATTAATTGTTCTCATGTTTTTTTATATATTTTTCTGTTATTTTTTTTATTAAAACTAAATGCTTATTATGTTTTTTTGTTTTTTTTTAAAAAAAAACATAAAAATAAATTAATTTATAAAAAGTATAAATATATGTACTTATTTTAATTATTCAATCTTTAAAAAAATTAAATGTTTTATTTTAAATTCTCGAAAGAGAATAAAAATTAATTAAAAAAACAAAAAAACAGATTTTTACAAAATTTTAAAATATGAATGGTTTTCAAATTAAAAAATCATAAATAAATTAAAATATATTAATATTATTTATAACTAACAATTATAATTAAAAAAGAAAAAATTAATAATAAACAATAAAAAAACTAAACAAAAATAATAATAAAAACTAAGGAAAACAAAAATGGTACAAAAAACATTAACTTTTATAAAAATAAATATTTAATTTATATTAATGAATATTTATAATTAAATAATATGCAATTTTTATAAACATAAATATTCTAAATATTAATTTAAAGAATCCGAAAATAACTCTATTAATTTCTAAGTAAATAACATAATTAAAACAGAAAAATCCTGAAGGTATTTTAATTTATAAATGAATAATACTAAGATAAAAAAAAAAATTTATTATAAATAAATAAAAAAGGAATAAATATAATTATAAATGATGTAGATATTTATGATATTTAAGCTGATATTATAGGTCCAGGTAAAAAATAAAATTCTTATATAGAATATATAAAAATTAAATAGTTTAAACTCCTTATGAAGGTGGATTTTTCAGATGTAAATTAGTTATTCCATAAGACTTTCCGAAATTTCCTCCAAAAGGATTCTTTCATACGAAAATAGCACATCCAAATGTATCTGAAAAAGGAGAAATATGTGTAAACACTTTAAAAAAAGATTGGAATCCATTAAATTGGTCATTTTAAAATATATTTGAAGTAAATAATATTTAAAAATTAAAAAGCAAAATTAATAAAGGTTATAAAATGCTTATTAATTGTTCCTTTTCCTGAAAGTGCTTTAAATGAAGAAGTAGGAAAACTTTTTATGGAAGATTATGAAGGATACTTTAAATATGCGAAACTAATGACAGAATTACATGCTAAGCCTAAACAATATAAATAATATATAGAAAAAGAAGTTATTTTTTAATTATATAATAATTAAATTATAAATAATATATAGTAAAGTGAAGACAATAATGATGATTTATAAAAATATAATTAGCAAAAAATAATTAAAAATGATGTAAAAGTGACATAATAATAAATTAATAAAACTTAAAATTAAGAAAATTTAAAATATTAAAATAATAATAACAGTTTTACGTAAGGCAACCCAGAAGAACCTTTAAGCAGTTTAACAAAAAATTAGTAATAATAATAATAAATTTAATAATAATTGTTATAAATAAATCAGACAATACAATAAAAGTAAACAACATAATAATAATAATAATAATAATAATAATAATAATAATAATAATAATAATAATAATAAAAGCATAATTTTTTATTAAATCTTACTTTTAATAATTATTCAAGTATTTATAAAGTTAAAGTAAATTGCCATAATATTAATCTTTAAAATTCTTAGATTGGAAGAAAGGAAATAGAACGGAAAAAATGGTTAAAAAGATTATGATTTTAATTTATTATTATTTTTTATTAAAAAAATATTTGTGGTTAATATAATATTATTATTTTTTATTATTTTTTTTATAATAAAAAAATAATTTATTTGAATTATAAAATAAATTAATATAAAAAAATGTATATTATTGCATCAATATGATATTTAATTACAAATAGTCAATTAAAATTTTCTAAAGTAAAAAATTTATTTCTTTTTTCAAAGATAAATGATTATATATGCTTTATATAAAATAGTTAAATATATTTTATTTAATTATTATTTAAAAAAAAAAAAAAATATTTAAAAAGTTAGTCAATTATTATATAATATTTCTGCTAAATAATTAAAATGTAATTCTCTTTTTTGGTTTTTTAAATAATTTTTTTTTATTTTTTTATCTAAATTTTAAAACTCTTCTCCTCAATATAAAAATTAATTTAGAAAATTAAATAAGCTTAATTTATTATTAAAACATGAAGAAACTTAGTTATTTTAGGAAATATTTTTAATATAAAAAATATTCTATTTTCTGAATATTTATTGATAAAAATCTTTATTTATCAAATATAAGTTTCTTAATACGGCCTAATATTTAATATAAATAATTTTGTTTCTATAGTCTTTGCTAATTTTATTCAAAATAAATTTGAGAAGATTAAATAAACTCTAATAACAGGTTGACAAAAATCTAAATAAAAAAGAAAATAGAAAGTTCCTATTATGCATACTGATTTACCCTTTAAAAATTTTTGTTTTGTTTATTATTTAATACTTAATAATGATATTTAAAATATTTTAATTAAGCAGATAATTAATTTTATAATGCCCTGAATAAAATAAATTAAAAATATTAAAATAAAATTTAAAATAAATAATTATTCTAGTATATTATCTTCTTAGAATAAAATAACTTTATTAATTATACTTAATTTTATAAAATAAATTTAAATTTTAGATATATTCAATGTAATAAATTGATAAAACTAAATAATTATGCTATTTTTGTTATTTTTGTATTTTGCAATAATTTATTTAATAAATAATATTTTTATTTATTACTTACTAAAAAATAATTAATTTATTTTAAAATTTAATGTAATGCAATATATAATTAAATTAAAATAATTTTATATATAAAAGAGATTTTATAACAGATTAATTTAATTATAAATTAATAGATGAATTTTTTTTATATTTTAACAGTATATAATTTAGATTTTCATATTTATCCTAATAACTCCCTATTAAATTAATTAAAAATAAAAATATAATATGGTTATAAAATAACAAAAATAGTTAATATATTACCATAAGTTTTCATAACTTAAATAATTGAAAACATTAAATTCATTCGGATAGCAATTAAAAGTTTCTTAAAAAATAAAATGCAAATAAAAACCGAATTAAATAAATATTTACTTGAAGGAAATACTTTATCTATAGTAATTCTAAACATATCATCTTCAAAAAAAAAACAAAATAAGTAAAAAAGTAAAAATAAATAATGAAAGAAATTACTTAACATCCTTGGTATTAATTTCTTTAAAATTTCATTTGATAATTCTAAACAAGGATTTGTATTAGCTTCAATAAGAAGAACTTAGCCTTACTTAGTTACCATAAAATCATATCCAATTAATTCAAAAGTGAATTTTTTATTTTTTTTAACAATCTTTCTTTTTACAGAATTGATAGTAAGTTTAATAAGACTATTAATTTATTTTAGAATGTCAATTAAAGAAAATTCTTAAGAATCAGTCTATAAAATTTCATCTAAATTTTAAAAAGAAATTATATTTCCATTTTCAAATTTTTCATAATTTACACCGTTTTTTTGAATCGCATTATTTGTTAAATGAATATATTAATTATTTAAATTGTGTGATCTTAAACTGAATATTTCACTACTTAGTCGACAGTAACCTTCTCTAAAAATATTAAATAAAAAATAAAATAAAAATTTTAACTTGAAAATATAATATTTTTAATCTTAATCTATCAAAACCCAAGTCCTGATATCGAATTTTCGATTATTAATAAGAAAAGGATTTTCAATGTATTTTTGTAATATTATTGTTTTTGGAATAGTATTTAAATTGCTTAATTAAATTCTTTTTTTTATTTTTTTCATCATCACTTTATCTTGTTTTTATTTTTTGAAGTTTTTATTCATATATTTCTATTATATTAGTTTAAATTTTAGAAAATGTTTCTTTCAATACTTAATATCTACCAAAAGGTAATAATAAAACAAATAATTATCTTATAGATTTAAATAAATGGATGCCTTATCCTCTATTTAAATCATCAGGTTTTTAAATCCATATATTTTTTGTTTTTTAGTTTTCCTCTTATTATTTAAAATATTAAATAAATGTCAAAATATCTTATTAATAGTTTTCACTTTCAACATTTAATAAGAATGTTTTAGGTACATATTTTTCTAATAATTATTCACTTTTTAAATATATAGACATATTTTGGAAAAGCTTACTTTTACATGTTAACTCTTAATGATTTTCGATATGATTTACCATTTATTTATTTCTTTATTGTATTGAAAGATCATCAAATCTTATATTTATACTTGTTGGTTTCCATCTTATAATTTTTTTTTTTTTTTTTTTAAATAATTTTTTTTTTTTTTTACCTAAAATTATATTAACTTGTTATTTCTTTTGCTTAAACCCACCAAGGTCTTTTGCTTAAAACATAAGAAACTAATTCTTAATTATTACCTTTTTCTACAATATACTATTTATTTATTTTTTTCGTGTTTTTTTTTTTATTTATTTTTTACAGTTAGTTAGTATTTAAATAGAGGAACCATTGATAAATTTTCAATTGTTGAATTGTGTTCATAAAATAATATTTTTTGGGTACTTTGCCTTTATTATTTTTCTTTTATAGTTGTTTTTGAATAACTTGTAGTATATGAAATTTGATTAATTTTTTAGCTAGTCTCATTTTAATTAGAATATTTGGAATTTTGTTTAAATTATATATTGTTAGGACTTTTTTTGATATTAACTAACATTTTTTATCTTTTTTTTTAGTGGCTTATATTAAATTAAATTTAATTAGTTTTTTTTTTTTTTTTTTCAATAATAATAAATTAAAATATTTATTCTTTTTTTATTTTTATTTTTTAATTTAACAAAAAAAATTAAAAATAGAATTTTTTTTCTAAAATAAATAAAATAAAAAATATATATATTTTTTTCATTATTTATTTATAATTTAATCAAATATTATTTAATTTAAAATTTCTGGACACTACTTGTTTTAAATAACTGAAAAATGAATAAAATAATTTTTTTTCATTTCTTATTTTATTTACTAATCAAATATTTCCAAATATAATTAATTCTTAGCAAATTCAAATATTTCATTTTATTTATGTTCATTAATTTCTTTTTCTTCTTTATTTTTATAATAATTAAGTTCTTCTTAGAAATTTTTATAATAAGGATTATATTAATTATGAATATATTTATTGTCATTATTTTCAATAATATTTTTTTCTTATATTTATGATTCATTATTATCATAATCGTCATCATCATCATTAATTTCTTATTTTTTTTATTAATTTTCTAAAATTAATTAATCCTAAATAAAATCGTTTAGAAGTTATTAATTTTCTTTTTAAAGATCCTGATTTAAAAACTAAGGAACTATTTCTTGCTCATAAATTTAATTTTTTATTGTTTTAATAAAATTTTAGAGCTTTGTATTTTAAGTTTTTTCTTATTTTATATTAAGTTCTTCTTTTTGTTTAATTTTTTAAAAATCCATCTTATTATATGTAAAATTTATTATTTTAAAAAGGTGTTAATTTTTTATTTTTTGGAAAAAAAAAAATAATTATTGAAAAAGTTTGAAATTTTTTAATTAAAATAAAAAAAAACAAAATAATAAAAAATATAACAGAAAAATAAAAATAAAAATGGCCAAATAAAATTATATATTGACTTTCTAAATAAATGATTTCCAAAAAAATATTTAAGAAACAAAGCAAATACTAAAAATTCAAAAGAATAATAGCTTTTTAATTCAAATACATACTTAAGAGTAAAAAATAACAAAAATAATCGAATAAATATAACCTTAGGACATTATATAAATAACTTTGTATGAAAAAAATGACGAAAATTATTTTTTATAGTAAAAAATATCATTAAATTTTGATTATTTTTTTTAATTTTATGGAAAAGAATAATATGAAATATTAAAAATAACCCCTAATTTATCTTTGCTAATAAAAATAAAGCTTTAATAATTCGAAAAAAATTGTGAACTTCATGAGAAGGAAAAAAAAAAGGAAAAAGAAAATGAAAAGGAAAAGGAAAAAGAACAGAAAAAAGAAAAGGAAAAGGAAAAGGAAAAGGGAAAGGAAAAAGAAAAGCAAAAAAAAAAGGAAAAGGAAAATGAAAATGAAAAGGAAAAGAAAAAGGAAAATGAAAAAGATAAGGGTAAGGATAAGGAAAAGGAAATGGAAAAAGATAAGGATAAGGAAAAGGATAAGGAAAATGAAAAGCAAAAGAAAGATTATTTTTTTAAAAAAATATTAATTAAAGAACAAAATTAATAATAAAAGACACCAAGAACATCTTAAATATATCAAGAAACTTTAAAATAAAAACTTGAAAAAATATAAATTTGTAATTCTACATTATAAAAAATACACAGAGAATATAATAATAAAATAAAATAATATAAAAGCAAAATAATTCTTTAAAAAATACAAATTTTTAAGCATAAAAAAGTTTATAAAATCTAATAAATATAATAAAATAAATGGATATTAATAAAAATGAAAAAAATATTACATAAATGAATTTCTAATATAAATTTGAAAATTAAAATTTTGAAATTTCTTAAATAAATAAAATTTATAAAATGCTTTTTTCTCTAAATATTGATGTTTATTCTCTTTAATAATAAAAAGAAGATCTTGATTAATAAATAAATAACTAATAAGAAAAAATCAAAGGATATAAAGTATTTTAGTGGTATGATAATCATTAAAACCTAAACCTCAATTAATTTGTTGATAATATCAAATTATTAAACGGTGAAGTCGATTTTAAAATAGAAGAGATTAATAATAATTTAGAATAAGAAGAATAGAATTTTTAAGATATAAATTTTTGTTATGATTTATAAGAAAATTTTAATTAATAATAATAAAATTCTTAACAATAAGAATTTTGAATAATTTTTTTGTGTTTTTTTAAATTTTCATTTTTTATTTATTTATTTTAAAAATAGTTTTTTTTTTAAAACGATTATATAAATATATTTTTTTTTAATTTTTTAAATGTATTAATTAATAATATATTTTTATATATGTGAAAAATCTTTTTATAAAAATATAATTATATATATTAAAAAGAAAAAAAAAAAAAAGATTAAAATGTCTAATTAACAGAACCAAAATTTGTAATTATATATAAAAAATATTGAAAATAATATAAAAATATTGTATAAAATATATAAAAAATAAAAATAGTACTTAGCAGAAAGCAAAATTAAATGCAAACGCAAATTTATTTATTCCGAATTGTAAAAAAAAAAATTAAAATAAATAAAATGAAATGAAATAAATTAAAAAAAAAAAGCTTAGTCACAATAATAGATTTAATAATCTCAAAATTATAATATGGCTGCATATTATTAGCAAGGTAAAATAAAAAGAAAAATATAAAAAAAAAAAAAAAAGATTAATTTTAACCCATATAGCAAGGATATTATATGGATTAATATCAACAATAATTGTATTAATAGCCATAATAAGTAAAAAACAATAAAATAAAAAAATATTAAAATAAAATATTAAAAGAACATGTAATAATTAAATTATACCTAAATAAATTTAAAACTTTAATAACCAACTCCTTAATAATTTATTCCAGGTACTTATGTACCATAGTCAATTAGTCCAGCATTGTAACAATAATATATTTAATAATAATAATAATAATAATAATAATAATAATAATAATAATAATAATAATAATAATAAACATAAGCATAATTTTCATACTAATAAGTTCCACCTTAACATTTAATAGAAAATAATTCTCTAACTGGATATTCAGACTAAGAGCAATAAAGTGAACTAGATATTGTTGTAAAGCATATTGTAAACTTGAGAGACCCTGAAAAAAAAGAAGAAGCATTATCAGAACTTTCTAAAAAAAGAGAATCGTTTTAAAATTTAGCACCATTATTATGGCATTCAACAGGTACAATAGCTTTATTAATCGAAGATATAGTATAAGTATACTAAAATCTTGTGTAAAATAATTTAACAACCTAAATATCAAGTAGTGTATGTTCTGTTTTGGGCCTTTTATAATGTTTAGCTTTACATTAAGAGACTAAGCCTCATTTTATAAAAGCACATATCCCTCTTTTTTTATACCCTTTTTTAAATACAAATGTAAAAACAAAGCCTTTTGAGAATCTCCGTGTAACATCCCTTGGAGTAATAGGTGCTTTAGTAAAAGGAGACGATACAGAGGCAATAACATTTTTAATGTAAACTGAGATTATTCCTCTCTGCTTAAGAATTATGAAGCGAGGCTAAGAATTATCTAGAACTGTTGCTACGTTTATTATTTAGAAAATACTTGTTGATGATAATGGTTTAAATTATATTTGCTAAACTGCTGAAAGATTTTTTGCTGTTTTTTTTTAAAAAAATAAATAAATAAATTAATATATATAATTTTTATTATAGGTTTCTACTGTTTTATAAAGTATGATTGAAGATCTTATTTAAAATGAAAAAGATGATTAGAGACTTCTAAGACATATTATTAGATGTTATTAGAGACTTTCAGATAATCCAAGGTTATATATTATTATTATAAATTATAGGAAATTTAAATATAAAACACATAACTAATTTATTAATTTTAATTAAACGAAAAAAAAATTAGAGCTAATGAAGCTTTGAAGAAAATTCTTCCAAATAATTTTAAAGATCCGAATTGGAAATTAATAAAAGATGAGACAGTAAAGAAATGGCATATTAATTTATTATAAAATTTAGGCTTTTATAATGAAGAAATGGGTATTTAGTAATAAAACTAAGGAAATATTTAACAAATGATGAATAATTAGAATTCAAATAATATGTATAATTAAATTAATTAGTAATAATAAAAACCTTAACCTAACATGTATGAATAATATTGAAAAAAAAAAAAAAAAAAATATATATATATATATATATATTGTTATTTTAAAAATAAAATAAAACAAAACAAAAAATTATAATTATAATTATTTTTATCAAGAAAATCCTTTCCAACCATTTTTTTTAGCAACTTCAAATCTATTTTTCCAATCATTACAAATTGTATTGTCTAAACAAGGATTTCCATATATACACGAACATCCCTCTTTTCGTTCCCCTCGTAGTTAATCTTCTTATTTTTCGGCTTTATATGTAACTTTTTCCCTCTAATTTTCAGCTTCTTCATCTTCTTCTATTTACAATGTATATATTTTCTCATCTTTTAATCCTTCAAATTCAGTTATATTATTTTCTATTTGTTTTTCTGGGATTTTCCTTTTATTATCATCAATTAAATGCATTTTAAAGTTGCCCAAAAAAACACTGGAAATGCAGTATTCATCATCTATTTAAGCACTTGTAATTTTTTCGTTTTTAGTTTTGAATTTCGTCTTATAATGACTGTATTATATTGTTACTTCTGCTATTTTATCCTCTTATTTTTTAATTTCTTCTTCTTTTTTTTCTTCTTCTTTTTTTATTATAGGTTTTTCTTCTTCTTTTTTTGCATCTGTTGTTTGCTTTGAACTTGTTTTTTAAGAAGTCTTTTATTGGGATGATTTTTATGCTAAATTTCCAGCCACAGGTTTTGTTGCAGGTTTTTAAATGGAATTTCCTACTGGTTTTTATGTGGGTTTTTGAGAAACTGCTGTAATTTGTTTTGTTGATGTTTTTGTAGTTGCTTTTTTCATTTTATTTATTTTTTAGTCGAATTTTAAAGGATGATTGATTAAAAAGAGATTTTTTTTCTTTTTTTCTTTTTTTCTTTCTTTCTTTCTTTCTTTCTTTCTTTTTTTTTCTTTTTTTTGTTTATTTTTATTATAGAAATAAATTTATATATTAATAATAAAATATTCTTTTTTTTTTTTTTTATGAATTTTACACTTAGTGATTTAAAAAATATTGATTTTAATATAATTTTAACCAAAAAAGAAATCGATAAATGTCAAGAAGCTTTTATTGCTTTTGATAAAAACGGTTCTAAATTTATAGAAAAAGAGGAGTTAAGGAAAGTTCTTGAAGGTTGAAAAAAAAAAAATATAAATTAAAGATATTTTAAAAATAAGTTTTTTCTAATTATAGAAATGGGATAAAATCCTCATGAAGAAGAAATAATTAAAATGATTACAGATGTAGATTAAACAGGAAGAGGAGCAATTTGTATTTTTATTTATTTTTAATTTAATTAATTTATTAATATTTAAATATTTGATTCTACATATTTCATTATTTTATTTTAGCTTTTAATGATTTTTTGAAGGTTATAGCATTTTATAAGCAACTTTAATAAAATAGTGATGAGGAAGAAATAAGTTAATTTTTTTTTTTTTAAATAAAATGACTTTATTAATTTTTTATTTAATAAAAAATAAATATTTTAATTAATTTTTTGTTTAACAAAAAGTTCTCACATTTGTTGCATTAGGTGGTAAAATAAAAAATATATAAACATAGTTTTCTGAAATTTGATTAATAAAAAAAAGGTAATCATGATAAAACAGGAAGTATTGATAGAAAAATATTATAAGAAGTAATATCTTCTGATTATAATTTAACAATTGATTTAAATGTAAAATAATTTATTTACAATAAATGTATTTTTTATTTTAGAGATTAGTAAAAGAACTATCTCCTGCAGCAACAGAAGTAAAATACGAAGACTTTAAAAACTTATTATTAAATTGAAAAAGTGAATAAAATTAAACTGTAAAAATAAATTACTTTTATAATCTTAAAAAATATAAAATAATTTTAAATCAAAAAAACAATTTTAAATCTAATTAAAAAAAAAAAAATATTTTCCAAATTACATAAAAAAATAAAATAAATGTAAATAATATGTATATAAAAAAATAAAATCAATTTTTATATAATTCTTCTTCTCTCTTAATAAGATTAGAAGTAGAATCAATAAGTGCTAAAAGCTGATTAATATCATTCGACCAAGAATTAAGAATATCGTTTTCTGATTTTTTTAATCTAAAGTTGACAATTTTATCTAATCTATCAATTTTACAAAAAGCCAATTTTTCATTAATCATTTCACATAATTCTGATTCAGCTTCGTTTTCAGTGATATTAAGAAGATTAGCAAGTCTTGCAAAACTAATGTTTTCATAATATTTATTCACAATTCTAATATTATGTTAAATCAGTTATTTTCTGAAATCTTACAAATGTTTTTCATGATTAGGAGCTTTAGAGAAACACCAAATATCCCCAATGTTATATTCTGAAGGATTAGTAGAAATAAGTTCTTCTAATAAATATTATTCAACAACATGTTTTAAATTAGAATATCTTTCTAAAATATGCTTGTACTTAGTAGTTAATTAATTGAGTAGTTATACTTATTCATGAGTATGTTTAGTAATAATCAAAAAGGATATCATATTTTCAAAAATATTCTGAAATGTACAATCGAATCCGAAATCTAAAGTTGTATTGAATTAAATGTCTTAATTATTCTTATCATTTAAAGTATCTAATATTTACTTATAAGAATTGCATGCTTCCATATATTTATTCTCGTGATTATAATAAACTACAAGATAAGCATAATATTGTATTTTCAAATCTACTAGATTTTTATCGTTTATGTTGTTTGGATTTACTTTCTTTGATATAATTATTAAACGTACATAGTCTTATTTTTTTATCATTATCTTCATTTAATATAATATGAATTCTAGTTTTTCTCTTCTGTCCATTGATCCGTATGTTTCTACCTGTTTTTTTTATTTTTTTTTAGTATATATATATATTTTTTTTGTTTAATTTTATTACTTGAACTTCTTGTAGTATCTTTGCAGCTTCATTAATTTCGTTATCATCTTCTTTTAATTTTACTAAAAGAAGGCAACACCTAGCATATTCTACCTTTTTTTTGTTTATGTATATATTTATATAATATTATAATTTTTTTTTTACTTCTAAAAATATTTTCTTGTCACAAACTTCCTTTAAAGTTTATATTAATTTTATTTTTAAGTTTTAGTCATCTAATTGGGAAATGTATAACATGCATTATTTAACCATTTCAATTTAGGCTTTTTTTACTTACCCCCTTTTCTTCGATAATGAAATAATTTATTAGAACATTGTTTCATATTCTTTCATATCCCATGCAAATTAGACCTAATTTATTTATTTAGTTAACTATTTAATAAATATTATAATTATTTACTATTTGCTTTAAGAGTTTAACACTTTCCTAAAATTCGTTATTTAAACGCGCTGTTTTCTCTTTTTATAGAAGAGAATCGAGTTGTCTTTAGAATTCTGTTTTTTCAATATCCATTTTTTTTTATTTTTAAATATATTTATTTTTTGATTTGATTAATTGTTTTTTTTTTCACTTTCTAATCTCAAAAAATATTTTAATAAATAATATATATTTTTTTATTTTAAAAAATATAAATATTTAATAAATGAGATTTATATAAAATTTAATCTTATATATTTATTTTATATGTATTTGTTTGTTCCTTTTATTTTTTGTTTAAAGTTTTAATAAATTTAATTTATCTTTTATAAATAATAAAAATTTACAAAATTAAAATAATTTTAATTCATTTAACAAAAAAAAAATTTTTAATTACTTTTTTAAAAAATAATTCCTTTAAATTGTATTAAATGTGGCCTTAAATTATACTCTTAAGTAGAGTCGTATAAATCAAGTTAAATGAACACCTTATTATAAATAAGTTCATCTAAAATATATCAATCTTTACTAAAATAACGTGTATAAAAAATAAAAGTACCATAAGAAAGTGAATATAAAAAAGTATAAAAAAAAAATATAAAAAATAAAAAATAAAAATATAAAAAAAAGTCAAGAAATGCCTTAATAACTTTTATTTTATAAATAAGTGAAAAATTAAAAATAAGTATAAATACTGCTCATTTAGCTATATATTACATGGATTAAACATTATTTTAATAAAATTTACCCCAACAATAATTCTAAATATACGCAGCAACTAGTTTAATGTTGGCAGGTAAAATAAAATAATTAAAATAAAAAAATTAAAAAAAAAAAAAGCCAAAACAATTGAATTAGATGAAAAAATACCTTTTATTTGTAAATTAAAAAAATATTCAGGTTTAAAAGATGAAAATACATAAGATTTTAAATAAGCAGAAAGTGCAATAATAAGAAAATTAAATTGAATTTATAATGTGTAACATGTATTGATGTTTTAGAATTTTATTTTTCTTAAGGAATCATTTTTTCGAATGATTCTATAAATTATTAATAAGATCAAAATTATAAAAATGTTCTTAAATAAATTTTTTCTTTATAACATAAAACAAATATATAAGCTAAAAAATATATAAAAATTTAAGATCTTTACTTTAAGAATTTGAAATTTATGAAATTGTTAAAAAAATTGAATCCCAATATGTCAGTTTAGCTAATTTAATTATAAAAGGTTTATTTTTGTATTAAAAATAAATGTATTATAATAGATCCAAAGTTTCATTCTTTTGAATTAGATAAAGTAGTGACAGCCTGTATTTGTATTTTGAGAAAAACTAAAGGAATTATTCCTATTTGGAATACATAATTATCTTAAATGAGTTAAAATTTTATGACTGAAAATGATATTTAGGAATGCTTAGAATTAATTGATAAAAATTGGCTAAAAATAATGTATTTAAAAAACAAACTTAAGAATTTTTTTGCAAAAAAGAAATTTTAAGATATTAATCAATTAAATAATGTGCAATAATAATAGTAAGGAAGATTCTAATTATTTTAGCATTAATAAATAAAATAAGAAAAAAAGTTAAGCTAATATTCCAGCTAAAATGAATATAAACTCAAATAATATTACATTAAAAAATAATATATGAATTATAAAATTAAATTTTTTTATTATTACTATTTTAAAAAATATTACTATTTTAGATTTAATTTCTATATTATTTTTAAATATTAAATATATTATTTTTTATAAAAAAAATGAAAAAGTAATAATTAATTTTATTATTAAGTAAAAATAATAAAGTTAAATTTAATATTTATATAAAATATATATAAATATATAAATATATATATATATGTTTTAATATTTTAATTTATATTATAATTATTAAAATAATTAAGATAATATTTTTAGTTAATTAATGCTTCCCTATTTTTTCTTTATATAATTATATATCTAATTTTTTTAATTAAAAGAAAAAAATCTTTATTTTATAATTAATAATTTATTATTATTATTAAAAATAAAAAAATATATGATAAAAGATATTTTTTAAATAGAAAAATAACGATATAAGCAAAAAGGTAAAAAATTAAATAAAATTCTAAATATATTTATTTTATCAGGCTTTCACTTAATAACAGCTTTTATTTTACTATTTTCTTTTTTTATATTAATACCATATATTTTTTATCCCTATTGGATAAAATATGAAACCTTTATTATAAAAAATAGTAACAATAATATATAAAATAAATATAAACAATCATTAAATTAATAAAAAGGTAATTAGTTTTTTATTTTTTCATTTTCTTTTATGCATTTATTTTTTATTTTGTTATGGCACTCACTATTTTCTATTTTATATATTTTTAAAATACCTTTTTTTGAAAAATGGCGTGCAAATAAAGTAAAAATTCCTGTGTATATTTTTAATAAATAATAAAAAAAAAGAACACTAAATTTCTTTGGGAAGAAAATAAAGAATAATGGTAAATTGTGAAAAGAAAAACAATCAAAAATTTATTGATTTCTCATTTCATAATATTTCCTTTAATATTAATAATAGAAACAAATATTGGTTTAAAGTTTAAACTATCAATTTAATAATTTCCTTCAAAGTTAAAACAAACAAAAAAAACCAGAAAAAAATAAAATATATATATATATATATATTAAAATATTTAGTTTAGAAATATTAATATAAATATTTTTTTTTATGATTTGTGAAGATTTCGGTTTTTATTGGTCTCATTTTATTTTACATCATCCAAAATTATATTAGAAATATCATAAAACTCATCATGAATATAATTAACCATTTTCAATAACGGCTGAATATTCTCATCCTTTAGAATATATTTTTGGAAATTTAGTAATTAAAATATATATATATGTATGTATAAAAAGTAAAGTTTTATTAAAATAAAGCTACCAAGTTCACTTGGAATTAAAATTCTTACTGGTAAAGTTCATTTATTCACTGGATTTTTGTGGATTATTTGGAGAACTTATACAACAGCAGAAGTACACTCTGGTTATGAAATTCCTTTTTCCCCAGTAAGAGTTTTTCCATTGTCTGGAGGCAGTTATTTCCATAATTTTCATCATTCTAATAATACGGGTTCTTTTGGATCATATTTTACTTTTTGGGATAATTTTATGAAAACAAATAAATAATTTAATAATTATATGAAAAATATTTTTTAAAAAAATGAATGAAATTAATTTTTTTAAATAAAAAAATTCAGTTTAAATTTAAAATTATCCTCACTATTAAATAGGACAGGGATAACTGAAAATATTCATCAATTTATTAATATATATAATTTTTTTGATACATTACTAAATAAAATATAAGTTTTATCTATTTTTTTAAATTATATTTAATATTTTATTTTTTATTATGGGTTTTACTTTAATTATACGATATATATTAAATTATTAAAATATTTTTGTTTTTTATATTAATCTTATTTTTTTTATTTTTTTTTAAAAAAAAAATAATTCAATATTTAATATTAAGAAATTCGAATTCTTATAATAATTTAATTTATTATTATTAATTTTAGGCAAAAATAAGTTAAATTAATATATAGCAATAAATTCCTCCTAAACTCATTATAAAACTTCCAAATAAAATCATACCTACTAGTATATTACCGTAAAGCCTTGCTTATAATATAAAAACTACTCCTATTATTATAAAGACAATTCCAGATAATAATAAACTAATACCAATGGCATAATTTTTAAATGGAATTTTTATTCTTATTTAATTTTAATTAATATTAGATTAAGAGTCAAGCTTATTCACTTTTATTTAGGAATATTAATGATTGTATACTTCATTTAATACACTATTTGTATCGATTTCTAATGAACTTTATTCAAGCATTTAGTTTATTTTTTATTTTTTATTTATTTATTAAAATTTATAAAAAAAGATTTATAAATTATCAAAATTTGTTAATTTGTTTTTTTATTAAAATAAATTATAGTTTTAAAAGATTTAGGCAATTTCATGTTATTAATTTTTGTTTATTTTTTATCTAATTTTAACTATTTTATAAGAATTAAATATAAAAATTATTTTAAATAATTTTGCTTATTTAAAAATGTTAATAATTATAAAGTATTTTATAATTTAAGTAAATATTTTTTTTTTTTTTTTTCCAAAATTAAATTTTTTAGCAACAATTTTTTTTCTATATTTAATAAACTTCATAAAAATATATATTTATTATTTAACATAAAATCTAATACAATTATTTTATTAAATAAATTTTAAATTATTATATGATTTCTATTTATATTTATTTAAAAAAAAAATATAATAAATAATAATATTAATTATATATTTACATTAACTATTTATATATTAAAAAATTTAATTAAAAAACAATTTTCTTAAAATTTTATTCTATAGTCAATAAATTTTAAAATAATATAAATATTTTTGTAATTTACAATTATTTATATAAAAAACATCAATCTTATATAAGATCTTATTCATTAATTAAATACTTATAATATTTTAGAGATTTATTTATAATCTTTTTAATATCTTCAGGAACATTTTAAAGATTTCCATTTAAATAATATTCGAAAATCTTCGAATTATTTTACCTAATTTTAATATTTTTTCTACTTTCTTTATAAAAAACCTCAAAACCTAATTCAAATAAAGCTTTAAATGCATTTCCTTCTAAAAGAATAAACATTCCTTCTTTATTTTCAAGTTTTTAAACTACTTTTTTAGTCCCAGAAAGAATATTAACTACTTCTTTAGCATAATGGTATAAGCTAAAATATTTTTAGGGTAGATTTTCAAAAGAATAAAATTTTTAAAAAGTTTATTTCTCGATAACTTTATTTATTTCTATTTATTTTCCATCTCCGGAAATTTTAAATAAAAGTTTTCCATTGCAAGCTTCCACAAGCAAACTACGATCTTCTTAAATTTCTATAAAACCATTTTTCGTCTTAATTTTTCCAACTTCAATATCCAAGTGTATCCGCATTGGTGATAAAAAAATTTAATTACTAGAAGTTTTTGATGGGGCTTTTATAAATAAACTTCTATTAGTTGTGTTTAAAGAACTTACAGCCGTTGATAGAGAATCAAGTTAGTGAGATTCATTATATATTTATGCTTATTTTGTCTTTATTTAAATATTTTCGCGCCTTTTATTTAATAGCTATAGCTAATCGATATTTGAATTTATATACACATTCTCTTTTGACTGGTATATAAGTTATTTTTCATTTGTATATTTTGGAACAGAAATCATTTCATTTTTTAAATTGTTATAATCAGGGCAATTTGATGACTTTTTTCTTGTTTTTAAATTCTAAAATTAATTATATATATTATTTTGAAATAAAGAAATTTGTTTGTTTTTTTATATTTCGGTCAAAGAGTAATTTTCTTATGTTAATTTATTTATTTTTGTGGAAATATTTAAATTATTAGAATTATTTGTAGTTTAATTTATTTAAGTTGGATAATGAAGCGAGTTTGATTTTGTTTATTTATTAAGGATTTTAGTATTGACATTGTTTTTATGTTACAGACATTTATTTAATGATCTTCTGTTATTATTGCTTAAATCTTGTAATATAAATTACTATCGTTAATTAAAATCATTAAAAGATTTATTTAAGTTATTTGATTATAAATTGTAAGATTATTAATAATTTTATTAATATTATTAATATTATTATTATTATTATTATTATTATTATTATTATTATTATTATTTGCATTCTTTATAAAAACAATGATTTTTAATTTGCTATATATTATATCTTTCGTTTGGATTCCAAACAATTATATGTTCTAAGAGATCCTTGAGATTATTAGAGAAATAATTAGGAAGTTTTAAATCTATTTTTTTTTTTAAGTTTTTTAAAGTTTCTTAAATGCTTTATTTTTCAAATGGAGGTTTTCCTGTTACTAAAGCATATAAAATACATCCAAAAGACCAGCAGTCAGTTTTCATGCCATACGGTTCTCTATTATTATTTCTGGAGATATATAATTAGGAGTCCCGCATACAGTATCTTTTTCTGTTTCATAGTCATCTAGTTTAGTTGCCAGACCAAAATCGCAAATTTTCAATTTATCATTTTTTTTAAAAATAATATTTCCTGGTTTTAAATCTCTGTGTATATTTTTTTTAATGTAAATATTCCAATCCTAAAACTATTTAATATGATAAATTTTTTGCTTCTATTTCAGATAGTTTCCCTTTAGATTTTAAATAATCAAATAAACTACCTCCTTCACAATACTCTAATAATATATAATGATTATCAGAATCTTCGAAATTATTTATCATTTTTACAATGTTCGGATTATTTAATTCGCTGTGAATCTTTTTTTTTTTTGTAAAATACATATTTTTGTTATTTACTTCTATTTCATTTTTTATTCTATGTAAATATTCTTAGTAATTCTTCATTTTTTTATATATCACTTTTAAGGCCTAATAATATATTATTAGTTTTCTTTTTTTATTTGATATATATAGATTTATATAAACAATAATATATTTTATTGAATATTTTTTTTATTTGTTTTTTGCTTTAATATTTTTATTGTAATTACATATTCACGCTTTGATCTTCTTGATTAAACTTTAAAAACTAAACTTCCTCCTCCTTATGCTATTGGATCTTTAACCATATAGTTCTATTTTTAATATTTTATTTTTAAAATAAGTTATTGTATTTAAAAATTTATTTATATAATTTAATACTCCTAATGAATTAGAAATACTGTTTACCATTGAATCTAATGATTTCATTTTTTTTATAATATTTTACTTGTATTTATTTATTTCCTTTTTAAATAGCTTGCTTTTTTTTTATTGCTTCTTTAAATAAATGTTTATATAAAAAATTATTTTAAATTTTTTTCCTTATTAATATTCACATATATTCGTTTGAATATTTATTAAATTATTATGTTATTATTTTGAATTATTTAAAATAAATAAAAACAAATTCAATAATATTAATAATTTAAAATAAATTAAATAATTTTTTAAATCTAAATAAGATTCTAATATACTTAAAAATGAGATAATAATTTAAATTTAAAGTAAAGTAAATTAATTATTATTTATAAAGGATTTTATACTATGAAAAAAAAAAAAATTAATATTTTGTTAAATAATTATATTTTTATAAATCAATATTTATATATAAAAATAAAATGTTATTATATTGATTTTTTAAATTATAAACTTTTATACATAAAATATGCAAAAGTTAAAATTTTATATAAATGTATAGATAAACGAAAATATTAATTAATAAAAGCAACTAAATATATATATATATTTATAAAATATTATAAGCTTTGTATATTATTTACATTATTTTATATAAAAATATAATTGTATATATTATCAAAAATATAAATAAAATGAATTATATATTTTAAGATGATATTTCAAATTTAAGATAATTAATATAAGGTAAATAAGTATTTAAAAAATTAGTTGATAAAACTAAATTTGATAAACTACAGAAATGTCATGTATGTTCATAAAATTTGACTCAAATAAAATATTGGTAACTAAATTATTAAATAATAGTTAAAAAAAAAAAATTAATTAGTAAATTTTGTGGAAAAAGTGTTTGTTTAGAATGCTCAATGAAAAAAAGATAAAATCCAGAAAATTTAAAATAATTTGAAAGAATATGTGATAAATGTGAATTTGAGAATTTAAAAGGATTATTAATATTGAAAAATAAGAGAAAGGTTTAGAAAGCTAAATATGAAGTTGAAAAGGAATAAAATATTTTAAATAATTTATAAAATTAATTGAAAGAAAAAATTTAATAATATGATATGTAAGAAAAATAACAAAATAAAAAAATTAATGATTATAACCAAACAAACAAATTTATTAACGAATAAATATTAAAAGCTTAAAAAGATAATGATTCTAATGATATTAAAATTATTGAATTATAAAAAAATATAGATTAAATTATTTTAGAAAAAAACAAAAAAACATTAATTAGCTAATTTAAATGATTAAAAAAATAAAAAGTAAAAAAAATAAAAAAATAAAAAAATATCATCATTTAATCTATTATAAAATTAATAAAAAAATTATAAAAAGATATTATTATATATATATTTTTATTTTTATTAAATATAAAATTTTTGTTTTATTTTAGTATTTTAGAGGTATTAAAATTAAACAATATAAGAGATGATTTATCTAACACAATTTCTAAGATAAAAAATAGCTTATATATTAAAAATAAAAGTATAAGAGAATCTAACTTTGAAGAAGAATAAAATTAAAAATATAGCAATTTAAACTTTTTTTAAGACAATTCTCGTGAAGAATTTTCAGTATCATATAACTAAAGTTTAGAAATTCCTAAGAATAACTAAATATTTTCTCTTAAAAAAAAATAATGATTAATATTAAATTTAATAATTATTAAAATTATAAATTTATTATTTTATAAATAACAAAGTTTATATTTACTAAAAAAATATATATTTAAAGCAATAAAAGATTTGCTTTAAATAAATATAATTAAAAATGTTATAAAAAAATTTAAAAAAATATAAATATAAAAAAAATACAAAAAGATATATGTCAAATATTCATATTAAGTATAGTTTATAATTTGAAAAGAAAAAAAAAGAAAAAAAAAAAAAAAAATTATTAATATTAAATAAATATTTGAAAAAAGGCTAAATATAATTTATTTTTTAAAAAATATTTATTAAAAAAAAAAAATATAAAAAACATATTTAAGTATATAAAAATATTAATATTATAAAAATATAAGAATAAAAAATAATATAGGTAAAAAAAGATAAATAAATACATTACATAAATACAAAGATAATTAATTATATAAAATATTAATAATATTAATATTAAAAATATAAAATAAAAAAAAATTGTTAAATGTATATATGTAAATATAATAAGTATAAATATATATATATATAAATAAATATATAAATATATAAATATATATAAGTTATTATAAAATATTATAATTTATTTATTTATTTATTAAATAAAAAATATAATATAAAATGCTGGTCAAAAATTAATTATGGTCTTTTAATATTTTTGATTGAATTTTTTAAAAATAATTATAGAAATTAAAACAAAAATCTATATAAAAGAAATATATAAATTTTATAAAAATCTACTCATTTTCAGAATATTCAATAAAAAATAAAAAATATATCTATAATTAACACAAAATAAAAATTTTTAAAAATATTTTATAAAAAAATAAATTAGAAACAACTTTAATAATATATATTTAAGTTTAATTTCTTTCATTCTATTTTGTATTTATTTATAGTTACCTGAATTAATTTTTTATTTTTTTTAATTTCTTAAAAAATAGTTTTTATATAATTATTATTCATAATATCTTTTAATCCCGGTTTTCTTTTATATTAAAGCTAAAATTAAAATTACCATTCTCTAAAATTTTCTTCAAGAAGATCATTTTATTTTTTTAAATTTGTAGCATTTTGATTAAAAAAAGGACTTGTTTCATTTTAATATTTAAAAGTCTTTTTTTAAATTTTAGTTATTTCTTCTATTTCTTCATTATTTAATTATTTATTAT